TTTCTATGGAAATAAGCGATATTTTAGGTTAAAAACAGGGATTTCTATGAAAATAAGCGATATTTTAGGTTAAAAACAGGGATTTCTATGAAAATAAGCGATATTTGAGGTTAAAAACAGGGATTTCTATGAAAATAAGCGATATTTGAGGATAAAAACTGGGATTTCTATGAAAATAAGCGATATTTGAGGTTAAAAACAGGGATTTCTAGGAAAATAAGCGATATTTTAGGTTAAAAACAGGGATTTCTAGGAAAATAAGCGATATTTAAGGGGAAAAACAGGGATTTCTATGAAAATAAGCGATATTTAAGGGGAAAAACAGGGATTTCTATGAAAATAAGCGATATTTAAGGGGAAAAACAGGGATTTCTATGAAAATAAGCGATATTTAAGGGGAAAAACAGGGATTTCTATGAAAATAAGCGATATTTAGATGATAAAAACAGGGATTTCTATGAAAATAAGCGATATTTTAGGTTAAAAACAGGGATTTCTATGAAAATAAGCGATATTTAAGGGGAAAAACAGGGATTTCTATGAAAACAAGCGATATTTAAGGGGAAAAACAGGGATTTCTATGAAAATAAGCGATATTTGAGGTTAAAAACTGGGATTTCTATGAAAATAAGCGATATTTAAGGGGAAAAACTGGGATTTCTATGAAAATAAGCGATATTTTAGGTTAAAAACTGGGATTCCTATGAAAATAAGCGATATTTAAGGGGAAAAACAGGGATTTCTATGAAAATAAGCGATATTTTAGGTTAAAAACAGGGATTTCTAGGAAAATAAGCGATATCTTAGGTTAAAAACTGGGATTTCTATGAAAATAAGCGATATTTGAGGTTAAAAACAGGGATTTCTATGAAAATAAGCGATATTTGAGGATAAAAACTGGGATTTCTATGAAAATAAGCGATATTTTAGGTTAAAAACTGGGATTTCTAGGAAAATAAGCGATATTTGAGGTTAAAAACAGGGATTTCTAGGAAAATAAGCGATATTTTACGTTAAAAACTGGGATTTCTATGGAAATAAGCGATATTTAAGGGGAAAAACTGGGATATCTATGAAAATAAGCGATATTTAAGGGGAAAAACAGGGATTTCTATGAAAATAAGCGATATTTAAGGGGAATAACAGGGATTTCTATGAAAATAAGCGATATTTGAGGTTAAAAACAGGGATTTCTATGAAAATAAGCGATATTTTAGGTTAAAAACTGGGATTTCTATGGAAATAAGCGATATTTTAGGTTAAAAACAAGGATTTCTATGAAAATAAGCGATATTTGAGGTTAAAAACAGGGATTTCTATGAAAATAAGTGATAATTATGGGGGAAAACAGGTATTTCTATGAAAATAAGCGATATTTTAGGTTAAAAACAGGGATTTCTAGGAAAATAAGTGATATTTAAGGTTAAAAACAGGGATTTCTATGAAAATAAGCGATATTTAAGGGGAAAAACAGGGATTTCTATGAAAATAAGCGATATTTTAGGGGAAAACAGGGATTTCTATGAAAATAAGCGATATGTTAGGTTAAAAACTGGGATTTCTATGAAAATAAGCGATATTTTAGGTTAAAAACAGGGATTTCTAGGAAAATAAGCGATATTTTAGGTTAAAAACAGGGATTTCTAGGAAAATAAGCGATATTTAAGGGGAAAAACAGGGATTTCTATGAAAATAAGCGATATTTAAGGGGAAAAACAGGGATTTCTATGAAAATAAGCGATATTTAAGGTTAAAAACAGGGATTTCTATGAAAATAAGCGATATTTAAGGTTAAAAACTGGGATTTCTATGAAAATAAGCGATATTTTAGGTTAAAAACAGGGATTTCTATGAAAATAAGCGATATTTTAGGTTAAAAACAGGGATTTCTATGAAAACAAGCGATATTTAAGGGGAAAAACTGGGATTTCTATGAAAATAAGCGATATTTGAGGTTAAAAACAGGGATTTCTATGAAAATAAGCGATATTTTAGGTTAAAAACAGGGATTTCTAGGAAAATAAGCGATATTTTAGGTTAAAAACAGGGATTTCTAGGAAAATAAGCGATATTTAAGGGGAAAAACAGGGATTTCTATGAAAATAAGCGATATTTGAGGGGAAAAACAGGGATTTCTATGAAAATAAGCGATATTTAAGGTTAAAAACAGGGATTTCTATGAAAATAAGCGATATTTAAGGTTAAAAACTGGGATTTCTATGAAAATAAGCAATATTTTAGGTTAAAAACAGGGATTTCTATGAAAATAAGCGATATTTTAGGTTAAAAACAGGGATTTCTATGAAAACAAGCGATATTTAAGGGGAAAAACTGGGATTTCTATGAAAATAAGCGATATTTGAGGTTAAAAACAGGGATTTCTATGAAAATAAGCGATATTTAAGGTTAAAAACAGGGATTTCTATGAAAATAAGCGATATTTAAGGGGAAAAACAGGGATTTCTATGAAAATAAGCGATATTTGAGGTTAAAAACAGGGATTTCTAGGAAAATAAGCGATATTTTAGGTTAAAAACAGGGATTTCAATGAAAATAAGCGATATTTTAGGTTAAAAACAGGGATTTCTATGAAAATAAGCGATATTTGAGGATAAAAACAGGGATTTCTATGAAAATAAGCGATATTTTAGGTTGAAAACTGGGATTTCTAGGAAAATAAGCGATATTTTAGGTTAAAAACAGGGATTTCTATGAAAATAAGCGATATTTGAGGATAAAAACAGGGATTTCTATGAAAATAACGGATATTTTAGGTTAAAAACAGGGATTTCTATGAAAATAAGCGATATTTAAGGGGAAAAACTGGGATTTCTAGGAAAATAAGCGATATTTGAGGTTAAAAACAGGGATTTCTATGAAAATAAGCGATATTTAAGGGGAAAAACAGGGATTTCTATGAAAATAAGCGATATTTAAGGGGAAAAACAGGGATTTCTAGGAAAATAAGCGATATTTGAGGTTAAAAACAGGGATTTCGATGAAAATAAGCGATATTTAAGGGGAAAAACTGGGATTTCTATGAAAATAAGCGATATTTAAGGGGAAAAACAGGGATTTCTATGAAAATAAGTGATATTTAAGGGGAAAAACAGGGATTTCTAGGAAAATAAGCGATATTTGAGGTTAAAAACAGGGATTTCGATGAAAATAAGCGATATTTAAGGGGAAAAACTGGGATTTCTATGAAAATAAGCGATATTTAAGGGGAAAAACAGGGATTTCTATGAAAATAAGTGATATTTTAGGGAAAAAACTGGGATTTCTATGAAAATAAGCGATATTTTAGGTTAAAAACAGGGATTTCTATGAAAATAAGCGATATTTGAGGATAAAAACAGGGATTTCTATGAAAATAAGCGATATCTTAGGTTGAAAACAGGGATTTCTAGGAAAATAAGCGATATTTAAGGGGAAAAACAGGGATTTCTATGAAAATAAGCGATATTTAGGGGGAAAAACTGGGATTTCTATGAAAATAAGCGATATTTGAGGTTAAAAACAGGGATTTCTAGGAAAATAAGCGATATTTAAGGGGAAAATCAGGGATTTCTAAAAAAATAAGCGATATTTTAGGTTAAAAACTGGGATTTCTATGAAAATAAGCGATATTTAAGGGGAAAAACAGGGATTTCTATGAAAATAAGTGATATTTAAGGTTAAAAACAGGAATTTCTATGAAAATAAGCGATATTTTAGGTTAAAAACTGGGATTTCTATGGAAATAAGCGATATTTTAGGTTAAAAACAGGGATTTCTATGAAAATAAGCGATATTTGAGGTTAAAAACAGGGATTTCTATGAAAATAAGTGATAATTATGGGGGAAAACAGGGATTTCTATGAAAATAAGCGATATTTTAGGTTAAAAACAGGGATTTCTATGAAAATAAGCGATATTTAAGGTTAAAAACAGGGATTTCTATGAAAATAAGCGATATTTAAGGGGAAAAACAGGGATTTCTATGAAAATAAGCGATATTTTAGGGGAAAACAGGGATTTCTATGAAAATAAGCGATATGTTAGGTTAAAAACTGGGATTTCTATGAAAATAAGCGATATTTTAGGTTAAAAACAGGGATTTCTAGGAAAATAAGCGATATTTTAGGTTAAAAACAGGGATTTCTAGGAAAATAAGCGATATTTAAGGGGAAAAACAGGGATTTCTATGAAAATAAGCGATATTTAAGGGGAAAAACAGGGATTTCTATGAAAATAAGCGATATTTAAGGTTAAAAACAGGGATTTCTATGAAAATAAGCGATATTTAAGGTTAAAAACTGGGATTTCTATGAAAATAAGCGATATTTTAGGTTAAAAACAGGGATTTCTATGAAAATAAGCGATATTTTAGGTTAAAAACAGGGATTTCTATGAAAACAAGCGATATTTAAGGGGAAAAACTGGGATTTCTATGAAAATAAGCGATATTTGAGGTTAAAAACAGGGATTTCTATGAAAATAAGCGATATTTTAGGTTAAAAACAGGGATTTCTATGAAAATAAGCGATATTTTAGGTTAAAAACAGGGATTTCTATGAAAATAAGCGATATTTAAGGGGAAAAACAGGGATTTCTATGAAAATAAGCGATATTTGAGGGGAAAAACAGGGATTTCTATGAAAATAAGCGATATTTAAGGTTAAAAACAGGGATTTCTAGGAAAATAAGCGATATTTAAGGGGAAAAACAGGGATTTCTAGGAAAATAAGCGATATCTTAGGTTAAAAACAGGGATTTCTATGAAAATAAGCGATATTTTAGGTTAAAAACAGGGATTTCTATGAAAATAAGCGATATTTGAGGTTAAAAACAGGGATTTCTATGAAAATAAGCGATATTTGAGGTTAAAAACTGGGATTTCTATGAAAATAAGCGATATTTAAGGTTAAAAACAGGGATTTCTATGAAAATAAGCGATATTTAAGGGGAAAAACAGGGATTTCTATGAAAATAAGCGATATTTGAGGTTAAAAACAGGGATTTCTATGAAAATAAGCGATATTTTAGGTTAAAAACAGGGATTTCAATGAAAATAAGCGATATTTTAGGTTAAAAACAGGGATTTCTATGAAAATAAGCGATATTTAAGGGGAAAAACAGGGATTTCTATGAAAATAAGCGATATTTTAGGTTGAAAACTGGGATTTCTAGGAAAATAAGCGATATTTTAGGTTAAAAACAGGGATTTCTAGGAAAATAAGCGATATTTGAGGATAAAAACAGGGATTTCTATGAAAATAAGCGATATTTTAGGTTAAAAACAGGGATTTCTATGAAAATAAGCGATATTTTAGGTGGAAAACAGGGATTTCTATGAAAATAAGCGATATTTTAGGTTAAAAACAGGGATTTCTATGAAAATAAGCGATATTTTAGGTTAAAAACAGGGATTTCTAGGAAAATAAGCGATATTTAAGGGGAAAAACAGGGATTTCTATGAAAATAAGCGATATTTGAGGATAAAAACTGGGATTTCTATGAAAATAAGCGATATTTAAGGGGAAAAACAGGGATTTCTATGAAAATAAGCGATATTTAAGGGGAAAAACAGGGATTTCTATGAAAATAAGCGATATTTAAGGGGAAAAACTGGGATTTCTATGAAAATAAGCGATATTTTAGGTTAAAAACAGGGATTTCTATGAAAATAAGCGATATTTTAGGTTAAAAACAGGGATTTCTAGGAAAATAAGCGATATTTAAGGGGAAAAAACAGGGATTTCTAGGAAAATAAGCGATATCTTAGGTTAAAAACAGGGATTTCTATGAAAATAAGCGATATTTGAGGTTAAAAACAGGGATTTCTATGAAAATAAGCGATATTTTAGGTTAAAAACAGGGATTTCTATGAAAATAAGCGATATTTTAGGTTAAAAACAGGGATTTCTATGAAAATAAGCGATATTTAAGGGGAAAAACAGGGATTTCTATGAAAATAAGCGATATTTAAGGTTAAAAACAGGGATTTCTATGAAAATAAGCGATATTTAAGGGGAAAAACAGGGATTTCTATGAAAATAAGCGATATTTTATGTTAAAAACTGGGATTTCTATGAAAATAAGCAATATTTAAGGGGAAAAACAGGGATTTCTATGAAAATAAGCGATATTTGAGGTTAAAAACAGGGATTTCTATGAAAATAAGCGATATTTAAGGTTAAAAACTGGGATTTCTATGAAAATAAGCGATATTTGAGGTTAAAAACAGGGATTTCTATGAAAATAAGCGATATTTAAGGGGAAAAACAGGGATTTCTATGAAAATAAGCGATATCTTAGGTTAAAAACAGGGATTTCTATGAAAATAAGTGATATTTTAGGTTAAAAACAGGGATTTCTATGAAAATAAGCGATATTTGAGGTTAAAAACAGGGATTTCTAGGAAAATAAGCGATATTTTGATGATAAAAACAGGGATTTCTATGAAAATAAGTGATAGTTTAGGTTAAAAACAGGGATTTCTATGAAAATAAGCGATATTTTAAATTAAAAACAGGGATTTCTATGAAAATAAGCGATATTTGAGGTTGAAAACTGGGATTTCTATGAAAATAAGCGATATTTTAGGTTAAAAACAGGGATTTCTACGCAAATAAGCGATATTTGAGGATAAAAACAGGGATTTCTATGAAAATAAGCGATATTTTAGGTTAAAAACAGGGATTTCTATGAAAACAAGCGATATTTAAGGCGAAAAACTGGGATTTCTATGAAAATAAGCGATATTTGAGGTTAAAAACAGGGATTTCTATGAAAATAAGCGATATTTAAGGGGAAAAACAGGGATTTCTATGAAAATAAGCGATATTTTAGGTTAAAAACAGGGATTTCTATGAAAATAAGCGATATTTTAGGTTAAAAACAGGGATTTCTATGAAAATAAGCGATATTTGAGGTTAAAAACTGGGATTTCTATGAAAATAAGCGATATTTTAGGTTAGAAACAGGGATTTCTATGAAAATAAGCGATATTTTAGGTTAAAAACAGGGATTTCTAGGAAAATAAGCGATATTTGAGGTTAAAAACAGGGATTTCTATGAAAATAAGCGATATTTAAGGGGAAAAACAGGGATTTCTATGAAAATAAGCGATATTTAGGATAAAAACAGGGATTTCTATGAAAATAAGCGATATTTAAGGTTAAAAACAGGGATTTCTATGAAAATAAGCGATATTTTAGGTTGAAAACAGGGATTTCTAGGAAAATAAGCGATATTTTAGGTTAAAAACAGGGATTTCTAGGAAAATAAGCGATATTTAAGGGGAAAAACAGGGATTTCTATGAAAATAAGCGATATTTAAGGGGAAAAACAGGGATTTCTATGAAAATAAGCGATATTTAAGGGGAAAAACAGGGATTTCTATGAAAATAAGCGATATTTAAGGGGAAAAACAGGGATTTCTATGAAAATAAGCGATATTTAAGGGGAAAAACAGGGATTTCTATGAAAATAAGCGATATTTTAGGTTAAAAACAGGGATTTCTATGAAAATAAGCGATATTTAAGGGGAAAAACAGGGATTTCTATGAAAATAAGCGATATTTAAGGGGAAAAACAGGGATTTCTATGAAAATAAGCGATATTTGAGGTTAAAAACAGGGATTTCTATGAAAATAAGCGATATTTAAGGGGAAAAACTGGGATTTCTATGAAAATAAGCGATATTTTAGGTTAAAAACTGGGATTCCTATGAAAATAAGCGATATTTAAGGGGAAAAACAGGGATTTCTATGAAAATAAGCGATATTTTAGGTTAAAAACAGGGATTTCTAGGAAAATAAGCGATATTTAAGGTTAAAAACTGGGATTTCTATGAAAATAAGCGATATTTTAGGTTAAAAACAGGGATTTCTATGAAAATAAGCGATATTTGAGGATAAAAACTGGGATTTCTATGAAAATAAGCGATATTTGAGGTTAAAAACTGGGATTTCTAGGAAAATAAGCGATATTTTAGGTTAAAAACAGGGATTTCTATGAAAATAAGCGATATTTTACGTTAAAAACTGGGATTTCTATGGAAATAAGCGATATTTAAGGGGAAAAACTGGGATATCTATGAAAATAAGCGATATTTAAGGGGAAAAACAGGGATTTCTATGAAAATAAGCGATATTTTAGGGGAATAACAGGGATTTCTATGAAAATAAGCGATATTTGAGGTTAAAAACAGGGATTTCTATGAAAATAAGCGATATTTTAGGTTAAAAACTGGGATTTCTATGGAAATAAGCGATATTTTAGGTTAAAAACAGGGATTTCTATGAAAATAAGCGATATTTGAGGTTAAAAACAGGGATTTCTATGAAAATAAGTGATAATTATGGGGGAAAACAGGGATTTCTATGAAAATAAGCGATATTTTAGGTTAAAAACAGGGATTTCTATGAAAATAAGCGATATTTAAGGTTAAAAACAGGGATTTCTATGAAAATAAGCGATATTTAAGGGGAAAAACAGGGATTTCTATGAAAATAAGCGATATTTTAGGGGAAAACAGGGATTTCTATGAAAATAAGCGATATTTTAGGTTAAAAACTGGGATTTCTATGAAAATAAGCGATATTTTAGGTTAAAAACAGGGATTTCTATGAAAATAAGCGATATCTTAGGTTAAAAACAGGGATTTCTAGGAAAATAAGCGATATTTAAGGGGAAAAACAGGGATTTCTATGAAAATAAGCGATATTTAAGGGGAAAAACAGGGATTTCTATGAAAATAAGCGATATTTAAGGTTAAAAACAGGGATTTCTATGAAAATAAGCGATATTTAAGGTTAAAAACTGGGATTTCTATGAAAATAAGCGATATTTTAGGTTAAAAACAGGGATTTCTATGAAAATAAGCGATATTTTAGGTTAAAAACAGGGATTTCTATGAAAACAAGCGATATTTAAGGGGAAAAACTGGGATTTCTATGAAAATAAGCGATATTTGAGGTTAAAAACAGGGATTTCTATGAAAATAAGCGATATTTTAGGTTAAAAACAGGGATTTCTATGGAAATAAGCGATATTTTAGGTTAAAAACAGGGATTTCTATGAAAATAAGCGATATTTGAGGGGAAAAACGGGATTTCTATGAAAATAAGCGATATTTGAGGTTAAAAACAGGGATTTCTATGAAAATAAGCGATATTTTAGGTTAAAAACAGGGATTTCTATGAAAATAAGCGATATTTAAGGTTAAAAACAGGGATTTCTATGAAAATAAGCGATATTTTAGGTTAAAAACAGGGATTTCTATGAAAATAAGCGATATTTTAGGTTAAAAACAGGGATTTCTATGAAAATAAGCGATATTTTAGGTTAAAAACAGGGATTTCTATGAAAATAAGCGATATTTGAGGTTAAAAACAGGGATTTCTATGAAAATAAGCGATATTTAAGGGGAAAAACAGGGATTTCTATGAAAATAAGCGATATTTAAGGGGAAAAACAGGGATTTCTATGAAAATAAGCGATATTTGAGGTTAAAAACAGGGATTTCTAGGAAAATAAGCGATATTTTAGGTTAAAAACAGGGATTTCAATGAAAATAAGCGATATTTTAGGTTAAAAACAGGGATTTCTATGAAAATAAGCGATATTTTAGGTTAAAAACAGGGATTTCTATGAAAATAAGCGATATTTTAGGTTGAAAACTGGGATTTCTACGAAAATAAGCGATATTTTAGGTTAAAAACAGGGATTTCTATGAAAATAAGCGATATTTAAGGGGAAAAACAGGGATTTCTATGAAAATAAGCGATATTTTAGGTTAAAAACAGGGATTTCTATGAAAATAAGCGATATTTTAGGTTAAAAACTGGGATTTCTATGAAAATAAGCGATATTTAAGGGGAAAAACAGGGATTTCTATGAAAATAAGCGATATTTGAGGTTAAAAACTGGGATTTCTATGAAAATAAGCGATATTTAAGGTTAAAAACAGGGATTTCTATGAAAATAAGCGATATTTAAGGTTAAAAACAGGGATTTCTATGAAAATAAGCGATATTTAAGGTTAAAAACAGGGATTTCTATGAAAATAAGCGATATTTAAGGGGAAAAACTGGGATTTCTATGAAAATAAGCGATATTTTAGGTTAAAAACAGGGATTTCTATGAAAATAAGTGATATTTTGATGATAAAAACAGGGATTTCTATGAAAATAAGTGATAGTTTAGGTTAAAAACAGGGATTTCTATGAAAATAAGCGATATTTGAGGTTAAAAACAGGGATTTCTATGAAAATAAGCGATATTTAAGGGGAAAAACAGGGATTTCTATGAAAATAAGCGATATTTTAGGTTAAAAACTGGGATTTCTATGAAAATAAGCAATATTTAAGGGGAAAAACAGGGATTTCTATGAAAATAAGCGATATTTTAGGTTAAAAACTGGGATTTCTATGAAAATAAGCGATATTTAAGGTTAAAAACTGGGATTTCTATGAAAATAAGCGATATTTGAGGTTAAAAACAGGGATTTCTATGAAAATAAGCGATATTTAAGGGGAAAAACAGGGATTTCTATGAAAATAAGCGATATTTAAGGGGAAAAACAGGGATTTCTAGGAAAATAAGCGATATTTGAGGTTAAAAACAGGGATTTCGATGAAAATAAGCGATATTTAAGGGGAAAAACTGGGATTTCTATGAAAATAAGCGATATTTAAGGGGAAAAACAGGGATTTCTATGAAAATAAGTGATATTTTAGGGGAAAAACTGGGATTTCTATGAAAATAAGCGATATTTTAGGTTAAAAACAGGGATTTCTATGAAAATAAGCGATATTTGAGGATAAAAACAGGGATTTCTATGAAAATAAGCGATATTTTAGGTTAAAAACAGGGATTTCTAGGAAAATAAGCGATATTTAAGGGGAAAAACGGATTTCTATGAAAATAAGCGATATTTAGGGGGAAAAACTGGGATTTCTATGAAAATAAGCGATATTTGAGGTTAAAAACAGGGATTTCTATGAAAATAAGCGATATTTAAGGGGAAAATCAGGGATTTCTATGGAAATAAGCGATATTTTAGGTTAAAAACTGGGATTTCTATGAAAATAAGCGATATTTAAGGGGAAAAACAGGGATTTCTATGAAAATAAGTGATATTTAAGGTTAAAAACAGGAATTTCTAGGAAAATAAGCGATATTTTAGGTTAGAAACAGGGATTTCTATGAAAATAAGCGATATTTTAGGTTAAAAACAGGGATTTCTATGGAAATAAGCGATATTTAAGGGGAAAAACAGGGATTTCTATGAAAATAAGCGATATTTGAGGTTAAAAACAGGGATTTCTAGGAAAATAAGTGATATTTAAGGTTAAAAATAGGAATTTCTATGAAAATAAGCGATATTTAAGGGGAAAAACAGGGATTTCTAGGAAAATAAGCGATATTTAAGGGGAAAAACAGGGATTTCTATGAAAATAAGCGATATTTAAGGGGAAAAAACAGGGATTTCTAGGAAAATAAGCGATATCTTAGGTTAAAAACAGGGATTTCTAGGAAAATAAGCGATATTTAAGGGGAAAAACAGGGATTTCTATGAAAATAAGCGATATTTTAGGTTAAAAACAGGGATTTCTAGGAAAATAAGCGATATTTAAGGGGAAAAACAGGGATTTCTATGAAAATAAGCGATATTTGAGGGGAAAAACAGGGATTTCTATGAAAATAAGCGATATTTAAGGTTAAAAACAGGGATTTCTATGAAAATAAGCGATATTTAAGGTTAAAAACTGGGATTTCTATGAAAATAAGCGATATTTTAGGTTAAAAACAGGGATTTCTATGAAAATAAGCGATATTTTAGGTTAAAAACAGGGATTTCTATGAAAACAAGCGATATTTAAGGGGAAAAACTGGGATTTCTATGAAAATAAGCGATATTTGAGGTTAAAAACAGGGATTTCTATGAAAATAAGCGATATTTAAGGTTAAAAACAGGGATTTCTATGAAAATAAGCGATATTTAAGGGGAAAAACAGGGATTTCTATGAAAATAAGCGATATTTGAGGTTAAAAACAGGGATTTCTAGGAAAATAAGCGATATTTTAGGTTAAAAACAGGGATTTCTACGCAAATAAGCGATATTTTAGGTTAAAAACAGGGATTTCTATGAAAATAAGCGATATTTAAGGGGAAAAACAGGGATTTCTATGAAAATAAGCGATATTTTAGGTTGAAAACTGGGATTTCTAGGAAAATAAGCGATATTTGAGGTTAAAAACAGGGATTTCTATGAAAATAAGCGATATTTGAGGATAAAAACAGGGATTTCTATGAAAATAACGGATATTTAAGGTTAAAAACAGGGATTTCTATGAAAATAAGCGATATTTAAGGGGAAAAACTGGGATTTCTAGGAAAATAAGCGATATTTGAGGTTAAAAACAGGGATTTCTATGAAAATAAGCGATATTTAAGGGGAAAAACAGGGATTTCTAGGAAAATAAGCGATATTTAAGGGGAAAAACAGGGATTTCTAGGAAAATAAGCGATATTTGAGGTTAAAAACAGGGATTTCTATGAAAATAAGCGATATTTAAGGGGAAAAACTGGGATTTCTATGAAAATAAGCGATATTTAAGGGGAAAAACAGGGATTTCTATGAAAATAAGTGATATTTTAGGGGAAAAACTGGGATTTCTATGAAAATAAGCGATATTTTAGGTTAAAAACAGGGATTTCTATGAAAATAAGCGATATTTGAGGATAAAAACAGGGATTTCTATGAAAATAAGCGATATCTTAGGTTAAAAACAGGGATTTCTAGGAAAATAAGCGATATTTAAGGGGAAAATCAGGGATTTCTAAAAAAATAAGCGATATTTTAGGTTAAAAACTGGGATTTCTATGAAAATAAGCGATATTTAAGGGGAAAAACAGGGATTTCTATGAAAATAAGTGATATTTAAGGTTAAAAACAGGAATTTCTAGGAAAATAAGCGATATTTTAGGTTAGAAACAGGGATTTCTATGAAAATAAGCGATATTTTAGGTTAAAAACAGGGATTTCTATGGAAATAAGCGATATTTAAGGGGAAAAACAGGGATTTCTATGAAAATAAGCGATATTTGAGGTTAAAAACAGGGATTTCTAGGAAAATAAGTGATATTTAAGGTTAAAAATAGGAATTTCTATGAAAATAAGCGATATTTAAGGGGAAAAACAGGGATTTCTAGGAAAATAAGCGATATTTAAGGGGAAAAACAGGGATTTCTATGAAAATAAGCGATATTTAAGGGGAAAAAACTGGGATTTCTATGAAAATAAGCGATATTTGAGGTTAAAAACAGGGATATCTATGAAAATAAGCGATATTTTAGGTTAAAAACAGGGATTTCTATGAAAATAAGCGATATTTGAGGTTAAAAACAGGGATTTCTAGGGAAATAAGCGATATTTAACGGGAAAAACAGGGATTTCTATGAAAATAAGCGATATTTGAGGTTAAAAACAGGGATTTCTATGAAAATAAGCGATATTTAAGGGGAAAAACAGGGATTTCTATGAAAATAAGCGATATTTTAGGTTAAAAACTGGGATTTCTATGAAAATAAGCGATATTTAAGGTTAAAAACAGGGATTTCTATGAAAATAAGCGATATTTGAGGATAAAAACAGGGATTTCTATGAAAATAAGCGATATTTAAGGGGAAAAACAGGGATTTGTACGAAAATAAGCAATATCTAAGGGGAAAAACTGGGATTTCTATGAAAATAAGTGATATTTAAGGGGAAAAACAGGGATTTCTATGGAAATAAGCGATATTTGAGGTTAAAAACAGGGATTTCTATGAAAATAAGCGATATTTAAGGTTAAAAACAGGGATTTCTATGAAAATAAGCGATATTTAAGGTTAAAAACAGGGATTTCTATGAAAATAAGCGATATTTAGGTTAAAAACAGGGATTTCTATGAAAATAAGCGATATTTAAGGGGAAAAACAGGGATTTCTATGAAAATAAGCGATATTTTAGGTTAAAAACAGGGATTTCTATGAAAATAAGCGATATTTTGAGGTGATAAAAACAGGGATTTCTATGAAAATAAGCGATATTTTAGGTTAAAAACAGGGATTTCTATGAAAATAAGCGATATTTGAGGTTAAAAACAGGGATTTCTATGAAAATAAGCGATATTTAAGGGGAAAAACAGGGATTTCTATGAAAATAAGCGATATTTTAGGTTAAAAACAGGGATTTCTATGAAAATAAGCGATATTTAAGGGGAAAAACAGGGATTTCTATGAAAATAAGCGATATTTTAGGTTAAAAACAGGGATTTCTATGAAAATAAGCGATATTTAAGGTTAAAAACAGGGATTTCTATGAAAATAAGCGATATTTGAGGTTAAAAACAGGGATTTCTATGAAAATAAGCGATATTTAAGGGGAAAAACAGGGATTTCTATGAAAATAAGCGATATTTAAGGGGAAAAACAGGGATTTCTAGGAAAATAAGCGATATTTGAGGTTAAAAACAGGGATTTCTATGAAAATAAGCGATATTTAAGGGGAAAAACTGGGATTTCTATGAAAATAAGCGATATTTAAGGGGAAAAACAGGGATTTCTATGAAAATAAGCGATATTTTAGGTTAAAAACTGGGATTTCTATGAAAATAAGCGATATTTTAGGTTAAAAACAGGGATTTCTATGAAAATAAGCGATATTTGAGGATAAAAACAGGGATTTCTATGAAAATAAGCGATATTTGAGGTTAAAAACAGGGATTTCTAGGAAAATAAGCGATATTTAAGGTTAAAAACAGGGATTTCTATGAAAATAAGCGATATTTAGGGGGAAAAACAGGGATTTCTATGAAAATAAGCGATATTTGAGGTTAAAAACAGGGATTTCTATGAAAATAAGCGATATTTAAGGGGAAAAACAGGGATTTCTATGAAAATAAGCGATATTTTAGGTTAAAAACTGGGATTTCTATGAAAATAAGCGATATTTAAGGGGAAAAACAGGGATTTCTATGAAAATAAGTGATATTTAAGGTTAAAAACAGGGATTTCTATGAAAATAAGCGATATTTTAGGTTAGAAACAGGGATTTCTATGAAAATAAGCGATATTTTAGGTTAAAAACAGGGATTTCTATGGAAATAAGCGATATTTAAGGTTAAAAACAGGGATTTCTATGAAAATAAGCGATATTTGAGGTTAAAAACAGGGATTTCTAGGAAAATAAGCGATATTTAAGGTTAAAAATAGGAATTTCTATGAAAATAAGCGATATTTAAGGGGAAAAACAGGGATTTCTAGGAAAATAAGCGATATTTAAGGGGAAAAACAGGGATTTCTATGAAAATAAGCGATATTTAAGGGGAAAAAACAGGGATTTCTAGGAAAATAAGCGATATCTTAGGTTAAAAACAGGGATTTCTAGGAAAATAAGCGATATTTAAGGGGAAAAACAGGGATTTCTATGAAAATAAGCGATATTTTAGGTTAAAAACAGGGATTTCTATGAAAATAAGCGATATTTAAGGGGAAAAACAGGGATTTCTATGAAAATAAGCGATATTTGAGGGGAAAAACAGGGATTTCTATGAAAATAAGCGATATTTAAGGTTAAAAACAGGGATTTCTATGAAAATAAGCGATATTTAAGGTTAAAAACTGGGATTTCTATGAAAATAAGCGATATTTTAGGTTAAAAACAGGGATTTCTATGAAAATAAGCGATATTTTAGGTTAAAAACAGGGATTTCTATGAAAACAAGCGATATTTAAGGGGAAAAACTGGGATTTCTATGAAAATAAGCGATATTTGAGGTTAAAAACAGGGATTTCTATGAAAATAAGCGATATTTAAGGTTAAAAACAGGGATTTCTATGAAAATAAGCGATATTTTAAATTAAAAACAGGGATTTCTATGAAAATAAGCGATATTTGAGGTTGAAAACTGGGATTTCTATGAAAATAAGCGATATTTTAGGTTAAAAACAGGGATTTCTACGCAAATAAGCGATATTTGAGGATAAAAACAGGGATTTCTATGAAAATAAGCGATATTTTAGGTTAAAAACAGGGATTTCTATGAAAATAAGCGATATTTTAGGTTGAAAACTGGGATTTCTATGAAAATAAGCGATATTTGAGGTTAAAAACAGGGATTTCTATGAAAATAAGCGATATTTAAGGGGAAAAACTGGGATTTCTATGAAAATAAGCGATATTTAAGGTTAAAAACAGGGATTTCTAGGAAAATAAGCGATATTTAAGGTTAAAAACAGGGATTTCTATGAAAATAAGCGATATTTGAGGTTAAAAACAGGGATTTCTATGAAAATAAGCGATATTTTAGGGGAAAAACAGGGATTTCTAGGAAAATAAGCGATATTTTAGGTTAAAAACAGGGATTTCTATGAAAATAAGCGATATTTGAGGTTAAAAACAGGGATTTCTATGAAAATAAGCAATATTTTAGGTTAAAAACAGGGATTTCTATGAAAATAAGCGATATTTCAGGTTAAAAACAGGGATTTCTATGAAAATAAGCGATATTTGAGGTTAAAAACAGGGATTTCTATGAAAATAAGCGATATTTTAGGTGGAAAACAGGGATTTCTATGAAAATAAGCGATATTTTAGGTTAAAAACAGGGATTTCTATGAAAATAAGCGATATTTTAGGTTGAAAACAGGGATTTCTATGAAAATAAGCGATATTTCAGGTTAAAAACAGGGATTTCTATGAAAATAAGCGATATTTGAGGATAAAAACTGGGATTTCTATGAAAATAAGCGATATTTAAGGGGAAAAACAGGGATTTCTATGAAAATAAGCGATATTTAAGGTTAAAAACAGGGATTTCTATGAAAATAAGCGATATTTAAGGGGAAAAACAGGGATTTCTTTGAAAATAAGCGATATTTTAGGTTAAAAACAGGGATTTCTATGAAAATAAGCGATATTTTAGGTTAAAAACAGGGATTTCTAGGAAAATAAGCGATATTTAAGGGGAAAAACAGGGATTTCTAGGAAAATAAGCGATATCTTAGGTTAAAAACAGGGATTTCTATGAAAATAAGCGATATTTTAGGTTAAAAACAGGGATTTCTATGAAAATAAGCGATATTTTAGGTTAAAAACTGGGATTTCTATGAAAATAAGCGATATTTTAGGTTAAAAACAGGGATTTCTATGAAAATAAGCGATATTTAAGGGGAAAAACAGGGATTTCTATGAAAATAAGCGATATTTAAGGGGAAAAACAGGGATTTCTATGAAAATAAGCGATATTTAAGGGGAAAAACAGGGATTTCTATGAAAATAAGCGATATTTTATGTTAAAAACTGGGATTTCTATGAAAATAAGCAATATTTAAGGGGAAAAACAGGGATTTCTATGAAAATAAGCGATATTTAAGGTTAAAAACAGGGATTTCTATGAAAATAAGCGATATTTAAGGTTAAAAACTGGGATTTCTATGAAAATAAGCGATATTTGAGGTTAAAAACAGGGATTTCTATGAAAATAAGCGATATTTAAGGGGAAAAACAGGGATTTCTATGAAAATAAGCGATATCTTAGGTTAAAAACAGGGATTTCTATGAAAATAAGTGATATTTTAGGTTAAAAACAGGGATTTCTATGAAAATAAGCGATATTTGAGGTTAAAAACAGGGATTTCTAGGAAAATAAGCGATATTTTGATGATAAAAACAGGGATTTCTATGAAAATAAGTGATAGTTTAGGTTAAAAACAGGGATTTCTATGAAAATAAGCGATATTTTAAATTAAAAACAGGGATTTCTATGAAAATAAGCGATATTTGAGGTTGAAAACTGGGATTTCTATGAAAATAAGCGATATTTTAGGTTAAAAACAGGGATTTCTACGCAAATAAGCGATATTTGAGGATAAAAACAGGGATTTCTATGAAAATAAGCGATATTTTAGGTTAAAAACAGGGATTTCTATGAAAACAAGCGATATTTAAGGCGAAAAACTGGGATTTCTATGAAAATAAGCGATATTTGAGGTTAAAAACAGGGATTTCTATGAAAATAAGCGATATTTAAGGGGAAAAACTGGGATTTCTAGGAAAATAAGCGATATTTTAGGTTAAAAACAGGGATTTCTAGGAAAATAAGCGATATTTTAGGTTAAAAACAGGGATTTCTATGAAAATAAGCGATATTTGAGGTTAAAAACTGGGATTTCTATGAAAATAAGCGATATTTTAGGTTAGAAACAGGGATTTCTATGAAAATAAGCGATATTTTAGGTTAAAAACAGGGATTTCTAGGAAAATAAGCGATATTTGAGGTTAAAAACAGGGATTTCTATGAAAATAAGCGATATTTAAGGGGAAAAACAGGGATTTCTATGAAAATAAGCGATATCTTAGGATAAAAACAGGGATTTCTATGAAAATAAGCGATATTTTAGAATAAAAACAGGGATTTCTATGAAAATAAGCGATATTTTAGGTTGAAAACAGGGATTTCTATGGAAATAAGCGATATTTTAGGTTAAAAACAGGGATTTCTAGGAAAATAAGCGATATTTAAGGGGAAAAACAGGGATTTCTATGAAAATAAGCGATATTTAAGGGGAAAAACAGGGATTTCTATGAAAATAAGCGATATTTAAGGGGAAAAACAGGGATTTCTATGAAAATAAGCGATATTTAAGGGGAAAAACAGGGATTTCTATGAAAATAAGCGATATTTAGATGATAAAAACAGGGATTTCTAGGAAAATAAGCGATATTTTAGGTTAAAAACAGGGATTTCTATGAAAATAAGCGATATTTAAGGGGAAAAACAGGGATTTCTATGAAAATAAGCGATATTTAAGGGGAAAAACAGGGATTTCTATGAAAATAAGCGATATTTGAGGTTAAAAACTGGGATTTCTATGAAAATAAGCGATATTTAAGGGGAAAAACTGGGATTTCTATGAAAATAAGCGATATTTTAGGTTAAAAACTGGGATTCCTATGAAAATAAGCAATATTTAAGGGGAAAAACAGGGATTTCTATGAAAATAAGCGATATTTTAGGTTAAAAACAGGGATTTCTAGGAAAATAAGCGATATTTAAGGTTAAAAACTGGGATTTCTATGAAAATAAGCGATATTTGAGGTTAAAAACAGGGATTTCTATGAAAATAAGCGATATTTGAGGATAAAAACTGGGATTTCTATGAAAATAAGCGATATTTTAGGTTAAAAACTGGGATTTCTAGGAAAATAAGCGATATTTGAGGTTAAAAACAGGGATTTCTAGGAAAATAAGCGATATTTTACGTTAAAAACTGGGATTTCTATGGAAATAAGCGATATTTAAGGGGAAAAACTGGGATATCTATGAAAATAAGCGATATTTAAGGGGAAAAACAGGGATTTCTATGAAAATAAGCGATATTTTAGGGGAATAACAGGGATTTCTATGAAAATAAGCGATATTTGAGGTTAAAAACAGGGATTTCTATGAAAATAAGCGATATTTTAGGTTAAAAACTGGGATTTCTATGGAAATAAGCGATATTTTAGGTTAAAAACAAGGATTTCTATGAAAATAAGCGATATTTGAGGTTAAAAACAGGGATTTCTATGAAAATAAGTGATAATTATGGGGGAAAACAGGGATTTCTATGAAAATAAGCGATATTTTAGGTTAAAAACAGGGATTTCTATGAAAATAAGCGATATTTAAGGTTAAAAACAGGGATTTCTATGAAAATAAGCGATATTTAAGGGGAAAAACAGGGATTTCTACGAAAATAAGCGATATTTTAGGGGAAAACAGGGATTTCTATGAAAATAAGCGATATTTAGGTTAAAAACAGGGATTTCTATGAAAATAAGCGATATTTTAGGTTAAAAACAGGGATTTCTAGGAAAATAAGCGATATTTTAGGTTAAAAACAGGGATTTCTAGGAAAATAAGCGATATTTAAGGGGAAAAACAGGGATTTCTATGAAAATAAGCGATATTTAAGGGGAAAAACAGGGATTTCTATGAAAATAAGCGATATTTAAGGGGAAAAACAGGGATTTCTATGAAAATAAGCGATATTTAAGGTTAAAAACTGGGATTTCTATGAAAATAAGCGATATTTTAGGTTAAAAACAGGGATTTCTATGAAAATAAGCGATATTTTAGGTTAAAAACAGGGATTTCTATGAAAATAAGCGATATTTAAGGGGAAAAACTGGGATTTCTATGAAAATAAGCGATATTTGAGGTTAAAAACAGGGATTTCTATGAAAATAAGCGATATTTGAGGTTAAAAACAGGGATTTCTATGAAAATAAGTGATATTTTAGGTTAAAAACAGGGATTTCTATGAAAATAAGCGATATTTGAGGGGAAAAACTGGGATTTCTATGAAAATAAGCGATATTTGAGGTTAAAAACAGGGATTTCTATGAAAATAAGCGATATTTTAGGTTAAAAACAGGGATTTCTATGGAAATAAGCGATATTTTAGGTTAAAAACAGGGATTTCTATGAAAATAAGCGATATTTTAGGTTAAAAACAGGGATTTCTAGGAAAATAAGCGATATTTTAGGTTAAAAACAGGGATTTCTATGAAAATAAGCGATATTTGAGGTTAAAAACAGGGATTTCTATGAAAATAAGCGATATTTAAGGGGAAAAACAGGGATTTCTATGAAAATAAGCGATATTTAAGGGGAAAAACAGGGATTTCTATGAAAATAAGCGATATTTGAGGTTAAAAACAGGGATTTCTAGGAAAATAAGCGATATTTTAGGTTAAAAACAGGGATTTCAATGAAAATAAGCGATATTTTAGGTTAAAAACAGGGATTTCTATGAAAATAAGCGATATTTAAGGGGAAAAACAGGGATTTCTATGAAAATAAGCGATATTTTAGGTTGAAAACTGGGATTTCTACGAAAATAAGCGATATTTTAGGTTAAAAACAGGGATTTCTATGAAAATAAGCGATATTTAAGGGGAAAAACAGGGATTTCTATGAAAATAAGCGATATTTTAGGTTAAAAACAGGGATTTCTATGAAAATAAGCGATATTTTAGGTTAAAAACTGGGATTTCTATGAAAATAAGCGATATTTAAGGGGAAAAACAGGGATTTCTATGAAAATAAGCGATATTTGAGGTTAAAAACTGGGATTTCTATGAAAATAAGCAATATTTGAGGTTAAAAACAGGGATTTCTATGAAAATAAGCGATATTTAAGGTTAAAAACAGGGATTTCTATGAAAATAAGCGATATTTAAGGTTAAAAACTGGGATTTCTATGAAAATAAGCGATATTTGAGGTTAAAAACAGGGATTTCTATGAAAATAAGCGATATTTAAGGGGAAAAACAGGGATTTCTAGGAAAATAAGCGATATTTTAGGTTAAAAACAGGGATTTCTATGAAAATAAGTGATATTTTGATGATAAAAACAGGGATTTCTATGAAAATAAGCGATATTTAAGGGGAAAAACAGGGATTTCTATGAAAATAAGCGATATTTTAGGTTAAAAACTGGGATTTCTATGAAAATAAGCGATATTTAAGGGGAAAAACAGGGATTTCTATGAAAATAAGCGATATTTGAGGTTAAAAACTGGGATTTCTATGAAAATAAGCAATATTTAAGGGGAAAAACAGGGATTTCTATGAAAATAAGCGATATTTTAGGTTAAAAACTGGGATTTCTATGAAAATAAGCGATATTTAAGGTTAAAAACTGGGATTTCTATGAAAATAAGCGATATTTGAGGTTAAAAACAGGGATTTCTATGAAAATAAGCGATATTTAAGGGGAAAAACAGGGATTTCTAGGAAAATAAGCGATATCTTAGGTTAAAAACAGGGATTTCTAGGAAAATAAGTGATATTTTAGGTTAAAAACAGGGATTTCTATGAAAATAAGCGATATTTGAGGTTAAAAACAGGGATTTCTAGGAAAATAAGCGATATTTTGATGATAAAAACTGGGATTTCTATGAAAATAAGTGATAGTTTAGGTTAAAAACAGGGATTTCTATGAAAATAAGCGATATTTGAGGTTAAAAACAGGGATTTCTAGGAAAATAAGCGATATTTTAGGTTGAAAACTGGGATTTCTATGAAAATAAGCGATATTTTAGGTTAAAAACAGGGATTTCTACGCAAATAAGCGATATTTGAGGATAAAAACAGGGATTTCTATGAAAATAAGCGATATTTTAGGTTAAAAACAGGGATTTCTATGAAAACAAGCGATATTTAAGGCGAAAAACTGGGATTTCTATGAAAATAAGCGATATTTGAGGTTAAAAACAGGGATTTCTATGAAAATAAGCGATATTTAAGGGGAAAAACTGGGATTTCTATGAAAATAAGCGATATTTAAGGGGAAAAACAGGGATTTCTAGGAAAATAAGGGATATTTAAGGTTAAAAAAAGGGATTTCTATGAAAATAAGCGATATTTGAGGTTAAAAACTGGGATTTCTATGAAAATAAGCGATATTTTAGGTTAGAAACAGGGATTTCTATGAAAATAAGCGATATTTTAGGTTAAAAACAGGGATTTCTAGGAAAATAAGCGATATTTGAGGTTAAAAACTGGGATTTCTATGAAAATAAGCAATATTTTAGGTTAAAAACAGGGATTTCTAGGAAAATAAGTGATATTTCAGGTTAAAAACAGGGATTTCTATGAAAATAAGCGATATTTGAGGTTAAAAACAGGGATTTCTATGAAAATAAGCGATATTTTAGGTGGAAAACAGGGATTTCTATGAAAATAAGCGATATTTTAGGTTAAAAACAGGGATTTCTATGAAAATAAGCGATATTTTAGGTTAAAAACAGGGATTTCGATGAAAATAAGCGATATTTCAGGTTAAAAACAGGGATTTCTATGAAAATAAGCGATATTTGAGGATAAAAACTGGGATTTCTATGAAAATAAGCGATATTTAAGGGGAAAAACAGGGATTTCTATGAAAATAAGCGATATTTAAGGGGAAAAACAGGGATTTCTATGAAAATAAGCGATATTTAAGGGGAAAAACAGGGATTTCTTTGAAAATAAGCGATATTTTAGGTTAAAAACAGGGATTTCTATGAAAATAAGCGATATTTAGGTTAAAAACAGGGATTTCTAGGAAAATAAGCGATATTTAAGGGGAAAAACAGGGATTTCTAGGAAAATAAGCGATATCTTAGGTTAAAAACAGGGATTTCTATGAAAATAAGCGATATTTAAGGGGAAAAACAGGGATTTCTAGGAAAATAAGCGATATTTAAGGGGAAAAACAGGGATTTCTATGAAAATAAGCGATATTTTAGGTTAAAAACAGGGATTTCTATGAAAATAAGCGATATTTAAGGGGAAAAACAGGGATTTCTATGAAAATAAGCGATATTTAAGGGGAAAAACAGGGATTTCTATGAAAATAAGCGATATTTTAGGTTAAAAACAGGGATTTCTATGAAAATAAGCGATATTTAAGGGGAAAAACAGGGATTTCTATGAAAATAAGCGATATTTTATGTTAAAAACTGGGATTTCTATGAAAATAAGCGATATTTAAGGGGAAAAACAGGGATTTCTATGAAAATAAGCGATATTTAAGGTTAAAAACAGGGATTTCTATGAAAATAAGCGATATTTAAGGTTAAAAACAGGGATTTCTATGAAAATAAGCGATATTTGAGGTTAAAAACAGGGATTTCTATGAAAATAAGCGATATTTTAGGTTAAAAACAGGGATTTCTATGAAAATAAGCGATATTTGAGGTTAAAAACAGGGATTTCTATGAAAATAAGCGATATTTGAGGTTAAAAACAGGGATTTCTATGAAAATAAGCGATATTTAAGGGGAAAAACAGGGATTTCTAGGAAAATAAGCGATATCTAAGGGGAAAAAACAGGGATTTCTATGAAAATAAGTGATATTTAAGGGGAAAAACAGGGATTTCTATGAAAATAAGCGATATTTGAGGTTAAAAACTGGGATTTCTATGAAAATAAGCGATATTTAAGGGGAAAAACAGGGATTTCTATGAAAATAAGCGATATTTTTGGGGAAAAACAGGGATTTCTATGAAAATAAGCGATATTTTAAATTAAAAACAGGGATTTCTATGAAAATAAGCGATATTTTAGGTTAAAAACAGGGATTTCTATGAAAATAAGCGATATTTTAGGGGAAAAATAGGGATTTCTATGAAAATAAGCGATATTTGAGGTTAAAAACAGGGATTTCTATGAAAATAAGCGATATTTAGGGGAAAAACAGGGATTTCTAGGAAAATAAGCGATATTTTAGGTTAAAAACAGGGATTTCTAGGAAAATAAGCGATATTTGAGGTTAAAAACAGGGATTTCTATGAAAATAAGCGATATTTTAGGGGAAAAACTGGGATTTCTATGAAAATAAGCGATATTTTAGGGGAAAAACAGGGATTTCTATGAAAATAAGCGATATTTTAGGTTAAAAACAGGGATTTCTATGAAAATAAGCGATATTTGAGGTTAAAAACAGGGATTTCTATGAAAATAAGCGATATTTAAGGGGAAAAACAGGGATTTCTATGAAAATAAGCGATATTTTAGGGTTAAAAACTGGGATTTCTATGAAAATAAGCGATATTTAAGGGGAAAAACAGGGATTTCTATGAAAATAAGCGATATTTTAGGTTAAAAACAGGGATTTCTATGAAAATAAGCGATATTTTAGGTTAAAAACAGGGATTTCTATGAAAATAAGCGATATTTGAGGTTAAAAACAGGGATTTCTATGAAAATAAGCGATATTTTGATGATAAAAACTGGGATTTCTATGAAAATAAGCGATATTTAGGTTAAAAACAGGGATTTCTATGAAAATAAGCGATATTTTAAATTAAAAACAGGGATTTCTATGAAAATAAGCGATATTTGAGGTTAAAAACTGGGATTTCTATGAAAATAAGCGATATTTTAGGTTAAAAACAGGGATTTCTAGGAAAATAAGCGATATTTTAGGTTAAAAACAGGGATTTCTATGAAAATAAGCGATATTTTAGGTTAAAAACAGGGATTTCTATGAAAATAAGCGATATTTAAGGGGAAAAACTGGGATTTCTATGAAAATAAGCGATATTTTAGGTTAAAAACAGGGATTTCTAGGAAAATAAGCGATATTTCAGGTTAAAAACAGGGATTTCTATGAAAATAAGCGATATTTGAGGTTAAAAACAGGGATTTCTATGAAAATAAGCGATATTTTAGGTGGAAAACAGGGATTTCTATGAAAATAAGCGATATTTTAGGTTAAAAACAGGGATTTCTATGAAAATAAGCGATATTTTAGGTTAAAAACAGGGATTTCTATGAAAATAAGCGATATTTCAGGTTAAAAACAGGGATTTCTATGAAAATAAGCGATATTTGAGGATAAAAACTGGGATTTCTATGAAAATAAGCGATATTTAAGGGGAAAAACAGGGATTTCTATGAAAATAAGCGATATTTAAGGTTAAAAACAGGGATTTCTATGAAAATAAGCGATATTTAAGGGGAAAAACAGGGATTTCTATGAAAATAAGCGATATTTTAGGTTAAAAACAGGGATTTCTATGAAAATAAGCGATATTTTAGGTTAAAAACAGGGATTTCTAGGAAAATAAGCGATATTTAAGGGGAAAAACAGGGATTTCTAGGAAAATAAGCGATATCTTAGGTTAAAAACAGGGATTTCTATGAAAATAAGCGATATTTTAGGTTAAAAACAGGGATTTCTATGAAAATAAGCGATATTTTAGGTTAAAAACAGGGATTTCTATGAAAATAAGCGATATTTAAGGGGAAAAACAGGGATTTCTATGAAAATAAGCGATATTTAAGGGGAAAAACAGGGATTTCTATGAAAATAAGCGATATTTTAGGTTAAAAACAGGGATTTCTATGAAAATAAGCGATATTTTAGGTTAAAAACAGGGATTTCTATGAAAATAAGCGATATTTTAGGTTAAAAACTGGGATTTCTATGAAAATAAGCGATATTTAAGGTTAAAAACAGGGATTTCTATGAAAATAAGCGATATTTAAGGGGAAAAACAGGGATTTCTAGGAAAATAAGCGATATTTTAGGTTAAAAACAGGGATTTCTAGGAAAATAAGCGATATTTTAGGTTAAAAACAGGGATTTCTATGAAAATAAGCGATATTTGAGGTTAAAAACTGGGATTTCTATGAAAATAAGCGATATTTTAGGTTAGAAACAGGGATTTCTATGAAAATAAGCGATATTTTAGGTTAAAAACAGGGATTTCTAGGAAAATAAGCGATATTTGAGGTTAAAAACAGGGATTTCTATGAAAATAAGCGATATTTAAGGGGAAAAACAGGGATTTCTATGAAAATAAGCGATATCTTAGGATAAAAACAGGGATTTCTATGAAAATAAGCGATATTTTAGGATAAAAACAGGGATTTCTATGAAAATAAGCGATATTTTAGGTTGAAAACAGGGATTTCTATGAAAATAAGCGATATTTTAGGTTAAAAACAGGGATTTCTATGAAAATAAGCGATATTTTAGGTTAAAAACAGGGATTTCTATGAAAATAAGCGATATTTGAGGTTAAAAACAGGGATTTCTATGAAAATAAGCGATATTTAAGGGGAAAAACTGGGATTTCTATGAAAATAAGCGATATTTGAGGTTAAAAACAGGGATTTCTAGGAAAATAAGCGATATTTTAGGTTAAAAACAGGGATTTCTAGGAAAATAAGCGATATTTAAGGGGAAAAACAGGGATTTCTAGGAAAATAAGCGATATTTAAGGGGAAAAACAGGGATTTCTATGAAAATAAGCGATATTTAAGGGGAAAAACAGGGATTTCTATGAAAATAAGCGATATTTAAGGGGAAAAACAGGGATTTCTATGAAAATAAGCGATATTTAGATGATAAAAACAGGGATTTCTAGGAAAATAAGCGATATTTTAGGTTAAAAACAGGGATTTCTATGAAAATAAGCGATATTTAAGGGGAAAAACAGGGATTTCTATGAAAATAAGCGATATTTAAGGGGAAAAACAGGGATTTCTATGAAAATAAGCGATATTTGAGGTTAAAAACTGGGATTTCTATGAAAATAAGCGATATTTAAGGGGAAAAACTGGGATTTCTATGAAAATAAGCGATATTTTAGGTTAAAAACTGGGATTCCTATGAAAATAAGCAATATTTAAGGGGAAAAACAGGGATTTCTATGAAAATAAGCGATATTTTAGGTTAAAAACAGGGATTTCTAGGAAAATAAGCGATATTTAAGGTTAAAAACTGGGATTTCTATGAAAATAAGCGATATTTGAGGTTAAAAACAGGGATTTCTATGAAAATAAGCGATATTTGAGGATAAAAACAGGGATTTCTATGAAAATAAGCGATATTTTAGGTTAAAAACAGGGATTTCTATGGAAAATAAGCGATATTTAAGGTTAAAAACTGGGATTTCTAGGAAAATAAGCGATATTTGAGGTTAAAAACAGGGATTTCTAGGAAAATAAGCGATATTTTACGTTAAAAACTGGGATTTCTATGGAAATAAGCGATATTTAAGGGGAAAAACTGGGATATCTATGAAAATAAGCGATATTTAAGGGGAAAAACAGGGATTTCTATGAAAATAAGCGATATTTTAGGGGAATAACAGGGATTTCTATGAAAATAAGCGATATTTGAGGTTAAAAACAGGGATTTCTATGAAAATAAGCGATATTTTAGGTTAAAAACAGGGATTTCTATGGAAATAAGCGATATTTTAGGTTAAAAACAAGGATTTCTATGAAAATAAGCGATATTTGAGGTTAAAAACAGGGATTTCTATGAAAATAAGTGATAATTATGGGGGAAAACAGGGATTTCTATGAAAATAAGCGATATTTTAGGTTAAAAACAGGGATTTCTATGAAAATAAGCGATATTTAAGGTTAAAAACAGGGATTTCTATGAAAATAAGCGATATTTAAGGGGAAAAACAGGGATTTCTATGAAAATAAGCGATATTTTAGGGGAAAACAGGGATTTCTATGAAAATAAGCGATATTTAGGTTAAAACAGGGATTTCTATGAAAATAAGCGATATTTTAGGTTAAAAACAGGGATTTCTAGGAAAATAAGCGATATTTTAGGTTAAAAACAGGGATTTCTATGAAAATAAGCGATATTTAAGGGGAAAAACAGGGATTTCTATGAAAATAAGCGATATTTAAGGGGAAAAACAGGGATTTCTATGAAAATAAGCGATATTTAAGGGGAAAAACAGGGATTTCTATGAAAATAAGCGATATTTAAGGTTAAAAACTGGGATTTCTATGAAAATAAGCGATATTTTAGGTTAAAAACAGGGATTTCTATGAAAATAAGCGATATTTTAGGTTAAAAACAGGGATTTCTATGAAAACAAGCGATATTTAAGGGGAAAAACTGGGATTTCTATGAAAATAAGCGATATTTGAGGTTAAAAACAGGGATTTCTATGAAAATAAGCGATATTTGAGGTTAAAAACAGGGATTTCTATGGAAATAAGTGATATTTTAGGTTAAAAACAGGGATTTCTATGAAAATAAGCGATATTTGAGGGGAAAAACTGGGATTTCTATGAAAATAAGCGATATTTGAGGTTAAAAACAGGGATTTCTATGAAAATAAGCGATATTTTAGGTTAAAAACTGGGATTTCTATGGAAATAAGCGATATTTTAGGTTAAAAACAGGGATTTCTATGAAAATAAGCGATATTTGAGGTTAAAAACAGGGATTTCTATGGAAATAAGCGATATTTTAGGTTAAAAACAGGGATTTCTAGGAAAATAAGCGATATTTAAGGGGAAAAACAGGGATTTCTATGAAAATAAGCGATATTTGAGGTTAAAAACAGGGATTTCTATGAAAATAAGCGATATTTAAGGGGAAAAACAGGGATTTCTATGAAAATAAGCGATATTTAAGGGGAAAAACAGGGATTTCTATGAAAATAAGCGATATTTAGGTTAAAAACAGGGATTTCTAGGAAAATAAGCGATATTTTAGGTTAAAAACAGGGATTTCAATGAAAATAAGCGATATTTTAGGTTAAAAACAGGGATTTCTATGAAAATAAGCGATATTTAAGGGGAAAAACAGGGATTTCTATGAAAATAAGCGATATTTTAGGTTGAAAACTGGGATTTCTACGAAAATAAGCGATATTTTAGGTTAAAAACAGGGATTTCTATGAAAATAAGCGATATTTAAGGGGAAAAACAGGGATTTCTATGAAAATAAGCGATATTTTAGGTTAAAAACAGGGATTTCTATGAAAATAAGCGATATTTTAGGTTAAAAACTGGGATTTCTATGAAAATAAGCGATATTTAAGGGGAAAAACAGGGATTTCTATGAAAATAAGCGATATTTGAGGTTAAAAACTGGGATTTCTATGAAAATAAGCAATATTTGAGGTTAAAAACAGGGATTTCTATGAAAATAAGCGATATTTAAGGTTAAAAACAGGGATTTCTATGAAAATAAGCGATATTTAAGGTTAAAAACTGGGATTTCTATGAAAATAAGCGATATTTGAGGTTAAAAACAGGGATTTCTATGAAAATAAGCGATATTTAAGGGGAAAAACAGGGATTTCTATGAAAATAAGCGATATTTTAGGTTAAAAACAGGGATTTCTAGGAAAATAAGTGATATTTTGATGATAAAAACAGGGATTTCTATGAAAATAAGCGATATTTAAGGGGAAAAACAGGGATTTCTATGAAAATAAGCGATATTTTAGGTTAAAAACTGGGATTTCTATGAAAATAAGCGATATTTAAGGGGAAAAACAGGGATTTCTATGAAAATAAGCGATATTTGAGGTTAAAAACTGGGATTTCTATGAAAATAAGCAATATTTAAGGGGAAAAACAGGGATTTCTATGAAAATAAGCGATATTTTAGGTTAAAAACTGGGATTTCTATGAAAATAAGCGATATTTAAGGTTAAAAACTGGGATTTCTATGAAAATAAGCGATATTTGAGGTTAAAAACAGGGATTTCTATGAAAATAAGCGATATTTAAGGGGAAAAACAGGGATTTCTAGGAAAATAAGCGATATCTTAGGTTAAAAACAGGGATTTCTAGGAAAATAAGTGATATTTTAGGTTAAAAACAGGGATTTCTATGAAAATAAGCGATATTTGAGGTTAAAAACAGGGATTTCTAGGAAAATAAGCGATATTTTGATGATAAAAACTGGGATTTCTATGAAAATAAGTGATAGTTTAGGTTAAAAACAGGGATTTCTATGAAAATAAGCGATATTTGAGGTTAAAAACAGGGATTTCTAGGAAAATAAGCGATATTTTAGGTTGAAAACTGGGATTTCTATGAAAATAAGCGATATTTTAGGTTAAAAACAGGGATTTCTACGCAAATAAGCGATATTTGAGGATAAAAACAGGGATTTCTATGAAAATAAGCGATATTTTAGGTTAAAAACAGGGATTTCTATGAAAACAAGCGATATTTAAGGCGAAAAACTGGGATTTCTATGAAAATAAGCGATATTTGAGGTTAAAAACAGGGATTTCTATGAAAATAAGCGATATTTAAGGGGAAAAACTGGGATTTCTATGAAAATAAGCGATATTTAAGGGGAAAAACAGGGATTTCTAGGAAAATAAGGGATATTTAAGGTTAAAAAAAGGGATTTCTATGAAAATAAGCGATATTTGAGGTTAAAAACTGGGATTTCTATGAAAATAAGCGATATTTTAGGTTAAAAACAGGGATTTCTATGAAAATAAGCGATATTTGAGGTTAAAAACTGGGATTTCTATGAAAATAAGCAATATTTTAGGTTAAAAACAGGGATTTCTAGGAAAATAAGTGATATTTCAGGTTAAAAACAGGGATTTCTATGAAAATAAGCGATATTTGAGGTTAAAAACAGGGATTTCTATGAAAATAAGCGATATTTTAGGTGGAAAACAGGGATTTCTATGAAAATAAGCGATATTTTAGGTTAAAAACAGGGATTTCTATGAAAATAAGCGATATTTTAGGTTAAAAACAGGGATTTCGATGAAAATAAGCGATATTTCAGGTTAAAAACAGGGATTTCTATGAAAATAAGCGATATTTGAGGATAAAAACTGGGATTTCTATGAAAATAAGCGATATTTAAGGGGAAAAACAGGGATTTCTATGAAAATAAGCGATATTTAAGGTTAAAAACAGGGATTTCTATGAAAATAAGCGATATTTAAGGGGAAAAACAGGGATTTCTTTGAAAATAAGCGATATTTTAGGTTAAAAACAGGGATTTCTATGAAAATAAGCGATATTTTAGGTTAAAAACAGGGATTTCTAGGAAAATAAGCGATATTTAAGGGGAAAAACAGGGATTTCTAGGAAAATAAGCGATATCTTAGGTTAAAAACAGGGATTTCTATGAAAATAAGCGATATTTTAGGTTAAAAACAGGGATTTCTAGGAAAATAAGCGATATTTTAGGTTAAAAACTGGGATTTCTATGAAAATAAGCGATATTTTAGGTTAAAAACAGGGATTTCTATGAAAATAAGCGATATTTAAGGGGAAAAACAGGGATTTCTATGAAAATAAGCGATATTTAAGGGGAAAAACAGGGATTTCTATGAAAATAAGCGATATTTTAGGTTAAAAACTGGGATTTCTATGAAAATAAGCGATATTTAAGGGGAAAAACAGGGATTTCTATGAAAATAAGCGATATTTTATGTTAAAAACTGGGATTTCTATGAAAATAAGCAATATTTAAGGGGAAAAACAGGGATTTCTATGAAAATAAGCGATATTTAAGGTTAAAAACAGGGATTTCTATGAAAATAAGCGATATTTTAGGTTAAAAACAGGGATTTCTATGAAAATAAGCGATATTTAAGGGGAAAAACTGGGATTTCTATGAAAATAAGCGATATTTTAGGTTAAAAACAGGGATTTCTATGAAAATAAGCGATATTTTAGGTTAAAAACAGGGATTTCTATGAAAATAAGCGATATTTTAGGTTAAAAACAGGGATTTCTATGAAAATAAGCGATATTTGAGGTTAAAAACAGGGATTTCTATGAAAATAAGCGATATTTTAGGTTAAAAACAGGGATTTCTATGAAAATAAGCGATATTTGAGGTTAAAAACAGGGATTTCTATGAAAATAAGCGATATTTAAGGGGAAAAACAGGGATTTCTATGAAAATAAGCGATATTTTAGGTTGAAAACAGGGATTTCTATGGAAATAAGCGATATTTTAGGTTAAAAACAGGGATTTCTATGAAAATAAGCGATATTTGAGGTTAAAAACAGGGATTTCTATGAAAATAAGCGATATTTAAGGGGAAAAACAGGGATTTCTATGAAAATAAGCGATATTTAAGGGGAAAAACAGGGATTTCTATGAAAATAAGCGATATTTTAGGTTAAAAACAGGGATTTCTATGAAAATAAGCGATATTTAGATGATAAAAACAGGGATTTCTAGGAAAATAAGCGATATTTTAGGTTAAAAACAGGGATTTCTAGGAAAATAAGCGATATTTAAGGGGAAAAACAGGGATTTCTATGAAAATAAGCGATATTTAAGGGGAAAAACAGGGATTTCTATGAAAATAAGCGATATTTGAGGTTAAAAACAGGGATTTCTATGAAAATAAGCGATATTTAAGGTTAAAAACAGGGATTTCTATGAAAATAAGCGATATTTTAGGTTAAAAACTGGGATTTCTATGAAAATAAGCGATATTTAAGGGGAAAAACAGGGATTTCTATGAAAATAAGCGATATTTGAGGTTAAAAACAGGGATTTCTATGAAAATAAGCGATATTTAAGGTTAAAAACTGGGATTTCTATGAAAATAAGCGATATTTTAGGTTAAAAACAGGGATTTCTATGAAAATAAGCGATATTTTAGGTTAAAAACAGGGATTTCTATGAAAATAAGCGATATTTTAGGTTAAAAACAGGGATTTCTAGGAAAATAAGCGATATTTGAGGTTAAAAACAGGGATTTCTATGAAAATAAGCGATATTTGAGTTAAAAACTGGGATTTCTATGAAAATAAGCGATATTTAAGGGGAAAAACAGGGATTTCTATGAAAATAAGCGATATTTAAGGGGAAAAACAGGGATTTCTATGAAAATAAGCGATATTTTAGGGGTTAAAAACAGGGATTTCTATGAAAATAAGCGATATTTGAGGTTAAAAACAGGGATTTCTATGAAAATAAGCGATATTTTAGGTTAAAAACTGGGATTTCTATGAAAATAAGCGATATTTTAGGTTAAAAACAGGGATTTCTATGAAAATAAGCGATATTTGAGGTTAAAAACAGGGATTTCTATGAAAATAAGCGATATTTTAGGTTAAAAACAGGGATTTCTATGAAAATAAGCGATATTTAAGGTTAAAAACAGGGATTTCTATGAAAATAAGCGATATTTAAGGGGAAAAACAGGGATTTCTATGAAAATAAGCGATATTTTAGGGGAAAAACAGGGATTTCTATGAAAATAAGCGATATTTGAGGTTAAAAACAGGGATTTCTATGAAAATAAGCGATATTTTAGGTTAAAAACAGGGATTTCTATGAAAATAAGCGATATTTTAGGTTAAAAACAGGGATTTCTAGGAAAATAAGCGATATTTAAGGTTAAAAACAGGGATTTCTATGAAAATAAGCGATATTTAAGGTTAAAAACAGGGATTTCTATGAAAATAAGCGATATTTAAGGGGAAAAACAGGGATTTCTATGAAAATAAGCGATATTTGAGGTTAAAAACTGGGATTTCTATGAAAATAAGCGATATTTTAGGTTAAAAACAGGGATTTCTATGAAAATAAGCGATATTTTAGGTTAAAAACAGGGATTTCTATGAAAATAAGCGATATTTAAGGTTAAAAACTGGGATTTCTATGAAAATAAGCGATATTTGAGGTTAAAAACAGGGATTTCTATGAAAATAAGCGATATTTGAGGTTAAAAACAGGGATTTCTATGGAAATAAGCGATATTTTAGGTTAAAAACAGGGATTTCTATGAAAATAAGCGATATTTTAGGTTAAAAACAGGGATTTCTATGAAAATAAGCGATATTTGAGGTTAAAAACAGGGATTTCTATGAAAATAAGCGATATTTTAGGTTAAAAACTGGGATTTCTATGAAAATAAGCGATATTTTAGGTTAAAAACAGGGATTTCTATGAAAATAAGCGATATTTGAGGTTAAAAACAGGGATTTCTAGGAAAATAAGCGATATTTTAGGTTGAAAACTGGGATTTCTATGAAAATAAGCGATATTTTAGGTTAAAAACAGGGATTTCTATGAAAATAAGCGATATTTGAGGTTAAAAACAGGGATTTCTATGAAAATAAGCGATATTTAAGGGGAAAAACAGGGATTTCTATGAAAATAAGCGATATTTTAGGTTAAAAACAGGGATTTCTATGAAAATAAGCGATATTTTAGGTTAAAAACAGGGATTTCTATGAAAATAAGCGATATTTTAGGTTAAAAACAGGGATTTCAATGAAAATAAGCGATATTTTAGGTTAAAAACAGGGATTTCTATGAAAATAAGCGATATTTAAGGGGAAAAACAGGGATTTCTATGAAAATAAGCGATATTTTAGGTTGAAAACTGGGATTTCTACGAAAATAAGCGATATTTTAGGTTAAAAACAGGGATTTCTATGAAAATAAGCGATATTTAAGGGGAAAAACAGGGATTTCTATGAAAATAAGCGATATTTAAGGGGAAAAACAGGGATTTCTATGAAAATAAGCGATATTTTAGGTTAAAAACTGGGATTTCTATGAAAATAAGCGATATTTAAGGGGAAAAACAGGGATTTCTATGAAAATAAGCGATATTTGAGGTTAAAAACTGGGATTTCTATGAAAATAAGCAATATTTGAGGTTAAAAACAGGGATTTCTATGAAAATAAGCGATATTTAAGGTTAAAAACAGGGATTTCTATGAAAATAAGCGATATTTAAGGTTAAAAACTGGGATTTCTATGAAAATAAGCGATATTTGAGGTTAAAAACAGGGATTTCTATGAAAATAAGCGATATTTAAGGGGAAAAACAGGGATTTCTAGGAAAATAACCGATATCTTAGGTTAAAAACAGGGATTTCTAGGAAAATAAGTGATATTTTGATGATAAAAACAGGGATTTCTATGAAAATAAGCGATATTTAAGGGGAAAAACAGGGATTTCTATGAAAATAAGCGATATTTTAGGTTAAAAACTGGGATTTCTATGAAAATAAGCGATATTTAAGGGGAAAAACAGGGATTTCTATGAAAATAAGCGATATTTGAGGTTAAAAACTGGGATTTCTATGAAAATAAGCAATATTTAAGGGGAAAAACAGGGATTTCTATGAAAATAAGCGATATTTTAGGTTAAAAACTGGGATTTCTATGAAAATAAGCGATATTTAAGGTTAAAAACAGGGATTTCTATGAAAATAAGCGATATTTGAGGTTAAAAACAGGGATTTCTATGAAAATAAGCGATATTTAAGGGGAAAAACAGGGATTTCTAGGAAAATAAGCGATATCTTAGGTTAAAAACAGGGATTTCTAGGAAAATAAGTGATATTTTAGGTTAAAAACAGGGATTTCTATGAAAATAAGCGATATTTGAGGTTAAAAACAGGGATTTCTAGGAAAATAAGCGATATTTTGATGATAAAAACTGGGATTTCTATGAAAATAAGTGATAGTTTAGGTTAAAAACAGGGATTTCTATGAAAATAAGCGATATTTGAGGTTAAAAACAGGGATTTCTAGGAAAATAAGCGATATTTTAGGTTGAAAACTGGGATTTCTATGAAAATAAGCGATATTTTAGGTTAAAAACAGGGATTTCTACGCAAATAAGCGATATTTGAGGATAAAAACAGGGATTTCTATGAAAATAAGCGATATTTTAGGTTAAAAACAGGGATTTCTATGAAAACAAGCGATATTTAAGGCGAAAAACTGGGATTTCTATGAAAATAAGCGATATTTTAGGTTAAAAACAGGGATTTCTATGAAAATAAGCGATATTTAAGGGGAAAAACAGGGATTTCTATGAAAATAAGCGATATTTAAGGGGAAAAACAGGGATTTCTAGGAAAATAAGGGATATTTAAGGTTAAAAAAAGGGATTTCTATGAAAATAAGCGATATTTGAGGTTAAAAACTGGGATTTCTATGAAAATAAGCGATATTTTAGGTTAGAAACAGGGATTTCTATGAAAATAAGCGATATTTTAGGTTAAAAACAGGGATTTCTAGGAAAATAAGCGATATTTGAGGTTAAAAACAGGGATTTCTATGAAAATAAGCGATATTTAAGGGGAAAAACAGGGATTTCTAGGAAAATAAGTGATATTTCAGGTTAAAAACAGGGATTTCTATGAAAATAAGCGATATTTGAGGTTAAAAACAGGGATTTCTATGAAAATAAGCGATATTTTAGGTGGAAAACAGGGATTTCTATGAAAATAAGCGATATTTTAGGTTAAAAACAGGGATTTCTATGAAAATAAGCGATATTTTAGGTTAAAAACAGGGATTTCGATGAAAATAAGCGATATTTCAGGTTAAAAACAGGGATTTCTATGAAAATAAGCGATATTTGAGGATAAAAACTGGGATTTCTATGAAAATAAGCGATATTTAAGGGGAAAAACAGGGATTTCTATGAAAATAAGCGATATTTAAGGTTAAAAACAGGGATTTCTATGAAAATAAGCGATATTTAAGGGGAAAAACAGGGATTTCTTTGAAAATAAGCGATATTTTAGGTTAAAAACAGGGATTTCTATGGAAATAAGCGATATTTAAGGGGAAAAACAGGGATTTCTATGAAAATAAGCGATATTTTAGGTTAAAAACAGGGATTTCTAGGAAAATAAGCGATATTTAAGGTTAAAAATAGGAATTTCTATGAAAATAAGCGATATTTAAGGGGAAAAACAGGGATTTCTAGGAAAATAAGCGATATTTAAGGGGAAAAACAGGGATTTCTATGAAAATAAGCGATATTTAAGGGGAAAAAACTGGGATTTCTATGAAAATAAGCGATATTTGAGGTTAAAAACAGGGATATCTATGAAAATAAGCGATATTTTAGGTTAAAAACAGGGATTTCTATGAAAATAAGCGATATTTGAGGTTAAAAACAGGGATTTCTATGAAAATAAGCCATATTTAACGGGAAAAACAGGGATTTCTATGAAAATAAGCGATATTTGAGGTTAAAAACAGGGATTTCTAGGAAAATAAGCGATATTTAAGGGGAAAAACAGGGATTTCTATGAAAATAAGCGATATTTTAGGTTAAAAACAGGGATTTCTATGAAAATAAGCGATATTTTAGGTTAAAAACAGGGATTTCTATGAAAATAAGCGATATTTGAGGTTAAAAACAGGGATTTCTATGAAAATAAGCGATATTTTAGGTAAAAACTGGGATTTCTATGAAAATAAGCGATATTTTAGGTTAAAAACAGGGATTTCTATGAAAATAAGCGATATTTGAGGATAAAAACAGGGATTTCTATGAAAATAAGCGATATTTAAGGGGAAAAACAGGGATTTCTATGAAAATAAGCAAAATAAGCAATAAGCAAAAATATCTAATGGGAAAAACTGGGATTTCTATGAAAATAAGCGATATTTAAGGGGAAAAACAGGGATTTCTATGGAAATAAGCGATATTTGAGGTTAAAAACTGGGATTTCTATGAAAATAAGCGATATTTAAGGGGAAAAATAGGGATTTCTATGAAAATAAGCGATATTTTAGGGGAAAAACAGGGATTTCTATGAAAATAAGCGATATTTAGGTTAAAAACAGGGATTTCTAGGAAAATAAGCGATATTTTAGGATTAAAAACAGGGATTTCTATGAAAATATGTCATATTTTAGGGGAATAATAGGGATTTCTATGAAATTAAGCAATATTTAAGGTTAAAAACAGGAATTCCTATGAAAATAAGCGATATTTAGGGGAAAAACAGGGATTTCTAGTAAAATATGGGATATTTTAGGTTAAAAACAGGGATTTCTATGAAAATAAGCGATATTTGAGGTTAAAAACAGGGATTTCTATGAAAATAAGCAATATTTTAGGGGAAAAACTGGGATTTCTATGAAAATAAGCAATATTTCAGGGGAAAAACAGGGATTTCTATGAAAATAATTGGCATTTTAGGGTTAAAAACAGGGATTTCTATGAAAATAAGCGATATTTGAGGTTAAAAACAGGGATTTCTATGAAAATAAGCGATATTTAAGGGGAAAAACAGGGATTTCTATGAAAATAAGCGATATTTTAGGGTTAAAAACTGGGATTTCTAGGAAAATAAGCGATATTTAAGGGGAAAAACAGGGATTTCTATGAAAATAAGCGATATCTTAGGTTAAAAACAGGGATTTCTATGAAAATAAGTGATATTTTAGGTTAAAAACAGGGATTTCTATGAAAATAAGCGATATTTGAGGTTAAAAACAGGGATTTCTAGGAAAATAAGCGATATTTTGATGATAAAAACTGGGATTTCTATGAAAATAAGTGATAGTTTAGGTTAAAAACAGGGATTTCTATGAAAATAAGCGATATTTTAAATTAAAAACAGGGATTTCTATGAAAATAAGCGATATTTGAGGTTGAAAACTGGGATTTCTATGAAAATAAGCGATATTTTAGGTTAAAAACAGGGATTTCTACGCAAATAAGCGATATTTGAGGATAAAAACAGGGATTTCTATGAAAATAAGCGATATTTTAGGTTAAAAACAGGGATTTCTATGAAAACAAGCGATATTTAAGGCGAAAAACTGGGATTTCTATGAAAATAAGTAATATTTTAGGTTAAAAACAGGGATTTCTAGGAAAATAAGTGATATTTCAGGTTAAAAACAGGGATTTCTATGAAAATAAGCGATATTTGAGGTTAAAAACAGGGATTTCTATGAAAATAAGCGATATTTTAGGTGGAAAACAGGGATTTCTATGAAAATAAGCGATATTTTAGGTTAAAAACAGGGATTTCTATGAAAATAAGCGATATTTTAGGTTAAAAACAGGGATTTCTATGAAAATAAGCGATATTTAAGGGGAAAAACAGGGATTTCTATGGAAATAAGCGATATTTTAGGTTAAAAACAGGGATTTCTATGAAAATAAGCGATATTTGAGGGGAAAAACAGGGATTTCTATGAAAATAAGCGATATTTAAGGTTAAAAACAGGGATTTCTATGAAAATAAGCGATATTTAAGGGGAAAAACAGGGATTTCTTTGAAAATAAGCGATATTTTAGGTTAAAAACAGGGATTTCTATGAAAATAAGCGATATTTTAGGTTAAAAACAGGGATTTCTAGGAAAATAAGCGATATTTAAGGGGAAAAACAGGGATTTCTAGGAAAATAAGCGATATTTAAGGGGAAAAAACTGGGATTTCTATGAAAATAAGTGATATTTGAGGTTAAAAACAGGGATTTCTATGAAAATAAGCGATATTTGAGGTTAAAAACTGGGATTTCTATGAAAATAAGCGATATTTTAGGTTAAAAACAGGGATTTCTATGAAAATAAGCGATATTTAAGGGGAAAAACAGGGATTTCTATGAAAATAAGCGATATTTAAGGGGAAAAACAGGGATTTCTATGGAAATAAGTGATATTTTAGGTTAAAAACAGGGATTTCTATGAAAATAAGCGATATTTGAGGGGAAAAACAGGGATTTCTATGAAAATAAGCGATATTTTATGTTAAAAACTGGGATTTCTATGAAAATAAGCAATATTTAAGGGGAAAAACAGGGATTTCTATGAAAATAAGCGATATTTAAGGTTAAAAACAGGGATTTCTATGAAAATAAGCGATATTTAAGGTTAAAAACTGGGATTTCTATGAAAATAAGCGATATTTGAGGTTAAAAACAGGGATTTCTATGAAAATAAGCGATATTTAAGGGGAAAAACAGGGATTTCTATGAAAATAAGCGATATCTTAGGTTAAAAACAGGGATTTCTATGAAAATAAGGGATATTTTAGGTGGAAAACAGGGATTTCTATGAAAATAAGCGATATTTGAGGTTAAAAACAGGGATTTCTATGAAAATAAGCGATATTTTGATGATAAAAACTGGGATTTCTATGAAAATAAGTGATAGTTTAGGTTAAAAACAGGGATTTCTATGAAAATAAGCGATATTTTAAATTAAAAACAGGGATTTCTATGAAAATAAGCGATATTTGAGGTTGAAAACTGGGATTTCTATGAAAATAAGCGATATTTTAGGTTAAAAACAGGGATTTCTACGCAAATAAGCGATATTTGAGGATAAAAACAGGGATTTCTATGAAAATAAGCGATATTTTAGGTTAAAAACAGGGATTTCTATGAAAACAAGCGATATTTAAGGCGAAAAACTGGGATTTCTATGAAAATAAGCGATATTTGAGGTTAAAAACAGGGATTTCTATGAAAATAAGCGATATTTAAGGGGAAAAACTGGGATTTCTATGAAAATAAGCGATATTTAAGGGGAAAAACAGGGATTTCTAGGAAAATAAGCGATATTTAAGGTTAAAAACAGGGATTTCTATGAAAATAAGCGATATTTGAGGTTAAAAACTGGGATTTCTATGAAAATAAGCGATATTTTAGGTTAGAAACAGGGATTTCTATGAAAATAAGCGATATTTTAGGTTAAAAACAGGGATTTCTAGGAAAATAAGCGATATTTGAGGTTAAAAACAGGGATTTCTATGAAAATAAGCGATATTTAAGGGGAAAAACAGGGATTTCTATGAAAATAAGCGATATCTTAGGATAAAAACAGGGATTTCTATGAAAATAAGCGATATTTTAGGATAAAAACAGGGATTTATATGAAAATAAGCGATATTTTAGGTTGAAAACAGGGATTTCTATGGAAATAAGCGATATTTTAGGTTAAAAACAGGGATTTCTATGAAAATAAGCGATATTTTAGGTTAAAAACAGGGATTTCTAGGAAAATAAGCGATATTTGAGGTTAAAAACAGGGATTTCTATGAAAATAAGCGATATTTAAGGGGAAAAAACTGGGATTTCTATGAAAATAAGCGATATTTGAGGTTAAAAACAGGGATTTCTAGGAAAATAAGCGATATTTTAGGTTAAAAACAGGGATTTCTAGGAAAATAAGCGATATTTAAGGGGAAAAACAGGGATTTCTAGGAAAATAAGCGATATTTAAGGGGAAAAACAGGGATTTCTATGAAAATAAGCGATATTTAAGGGGAAAAACAGGGATTTCTATGAAAATAAGCGATATTTAAGGGGAAAAACAGGGATTTCTATGAAAATAAGCGATATTTAAGGGGAAAAACAGGGATTTCTATGAAAATAAGCGATATTTAGATGATAAAAACAGGGATTTCTAGGAAAATAAGCGATATTTTAGGTTAAAAACAGGGATTTCTATGAAAATAAGCGATATTTAAGGGGAAAAACAGGGATTTCTATGAAAATAAGCGATATTTAAGGGGAAAAACAGGGATGTCTATGAAAATAAGCGATATTTGAGGTTAAAAACTGGGATTTCTATGAAAATAAGCGATATTTAAGGGGAAAAACTGGGATTTCTATGAAAATAAGCGATATTTTAGGTTAAAAACTGGGATATCTATGAAAATAAGTGATATTTAAGGGGAAAAACAGGGATTTCTATGAAAATAAGCGATATTTTAGGGGAATAACAGGGATTTCTAGGAAAATAAGCGATATTTGAGGTTAAAAACAGGGATTTCTATGAAAATAAGCGATATTTTAGGTTAAAAACAGGGATTTCTATGGAAATAAGCGATATTTTAGGTTAAAAACAAGGATTTCTATGAAAATAAGCGATATTTGAGGTTAAAAACAGGGATTTCTATGAAAATAAGTGATAATTATGGGGGAAAACAGGGATTTCTATGAAAATAAGCGATATTTTAGGTTAAAAACAGGGATTTCTAGGAAAATAAGCGATATTTAAGGTTAAAAACAGGGATTTCTATGAAAATAAGCGATATTTAAGGGGAAAAACAGGGATTTCTACGAAAATAAGCGATATTTTAGGGGAAAACAGGGATTTCTATGAAAATAAGCGATATCTTAGGTTAAAAACTGGGATTTCTATGAAAATAAGCGATATTTTAGGTTAAAAACAGGGATTTCTATGAAAATAAGCGATATTTAAGGGGAAAAACAGGGATTTCTATGAAAATAAGCGATATTTAAGGGGAAAAACAGGGATTTCTATGAAAATAAGCGATATTTAAGGTTAAAAACTGGGATTTCTATGAAAATAAGCGATATTTTAGGTTAAAAACAGGGATTTCTATGAAAATAAGCGATATTTTAGGTTAAAAACAGGGATTTCTATGAAAACAAGCGATATTTAAGGGGAAAAACTGGGATTTCTATGAAAATAAGCGATATTTGAGGTTAAAAACAGGGATTTCTATGAAAATAAGCGATATTTGAGGTTAAAAACAGGGATTTCTATGGAAATAAGTGATATTTTAGGTTAAAAACAGGGATTTCTATGAAAATAAGCGATATTTGAGGGGAAAAACTGGGATTTCTATGGAAATAAGCGATATTTGAGGTTAAAAACAGGGATTTCTATGAAAATAAGCGATATTTTAGGTTAAAAACTGGGATTTCTATGGAAATAAGCGATATTTTAGGTTAAAAACAGGGATTTCTATGAAAATAAGCGATATTTGAGGTTAAAAACAGGGATTTCTATGGAAATAAGCGATATTTTAGGTTAAAAACAGGGATTTCTAGGAAAATAAGCGATATTTTAGGTTAAAAACAGGGATTTCTATGAAAATAAGCGATATTTGAGGTTAAAAACAGGGATTTCTATGAAAATAAGCGATATTTAAGGGGAAAAACAGGGATTTCTATGAAAATAAGCGATATTTAAGGGGAAAAACAGGGATTTCTAGGAAAATAAGCGATATCTTAGGTTAGAAACAGGGATTTCTAGGAAAATAAGCGATATTTTAGGTTAAAAACAGGGATTTCAATGAAAATAAGCGATATTTTAGGTTAAAAACAGGGATTTCTATGAAAATAAGCGATATTTAAGGGGAAAAACAGGGATTTCTATGAAAATAAGCGATATTTTAGGTTGAAAACTGGGATTTCTACGAAAATAAGCGATATTTTAGGTTAAAAACAGGGATTTCTATGAAAATAAGCGATATTTAAGGGGAAAAACAGGGATTTCTATGAAAATAAGCGATATTTTAGGTTAAAAACAGGGATTTCTATGAAAATAAGCGATATTTTAGGTTAAAAACTGGGATTTCTATGAAAATAAGCGATATTTAAGGGGAAAAACAGGGATTTCTATGAAAATAAGCGATATTTGAGGTTAAAAACTGGGATTTCTATGAAAATAAGCAATATTTGAGGTTAAAAACAGGGATTTCTATGAAAATAAGCGATATTTAAGGTTAAAAACAGGGATTTCTATGAAAATAAGCGATATTTAAGGTTAAAAACTGGGATTTCTATGAAAATAAGCGATATTTGAGGTTAAAAACAGGGATTTCTATGAAAATAAGCGATATTTAAGGGGAAAAACAGGGATTTCTATGAAAATAAGCGATATTTTAGGTTAAAAACAGGGATTTCTATGAAAATAAGTGATATTTTGATGATAAAAACAGGGATTTCTATGAAAATAAGTGATAGTTTAGGTTAAAAACAGGGATTTCTATGAAAATAAGCGATATTTTAGGGGAAAAACAGGGATTTCTATGAAAATAAGCGATATTTAAGGGGAAAAACAGGGATTTCTATGAAAATAAGCGATATTTAAGGGGAAAAACAGGGATTTCTATGAAAAGAAGCGATATTTGAGGTTAAAAACAGGGATTTCTATGAAAATAAGCGATATTTTAGGTTAAAAACTGGGATTTCTATGAAAATAAGCGATATTTAAGGTTAAAAACTGGGATTTCTATGAAAATAAGCGATATTTGAGGTTAAAAACAGGGATTTCTATGAAAATAAGCGATATTTAAGGGGAAAAACAGGGATTTCTAGGAAAATAAGCGATATCTTAGGTTAAAAACAGGGATTTCTAGGAAAATAAGTGATATTTTAGGTTAAAAACAGGGATTTCTATGAAAATAAGCGATATTTGAGGTTAAAAACAGGGATTTCTAGGAAAATAAGCGATATTTTGATGATAAAAACTGGGATTTCTATGAAAATAAGTGATAGTTTAGGTTAAAAACAGGGATTTCTATGAAAATAAGCGATATTTGAGGTTAAAAACAGGGATTTCTAGGAAAATAAGCGATATTTTAGGTTGAAAACTGGGATTTCTATGAAAATAAGCGATATTTTAGGTTAAAAACAGGGATTTCTACGCAAATAAGCGATATTTGAGGATAAAAACAGGGATTTCTATGAAAATAAGCGATATTTTAGGTTAAAAACAGGGATTTCTATGAAAACAAGCGATATTTAAGGCGAAAAACTGGGATTTCTATGAAAATAAGCGATATTTGAGGTTAAAAACAGGGATTTCTATGAAAATAAGCGATATTTAAGGGGAAAAACTGGGATTTCTATGAAAATAAGCGATATTTAAGGGGAAAAACAGGGATTTCTAGGAAAATAAGGGATATTTAAGGTTAAAAAAAGGGATTTCTATGAAAATAAGCGATATTTGAGGTTAAAAACTGGGATTTCTATGAAAATAAGCGATATTTTAGGTTAGAAACAGGGATTTCTATGAAAATAAGCGATATTTTAGGTTAAAAACAGGGATTTCTATGAAAATAAGCGATATTTGAGGTTAAAAACTGGGATTTCTATGAAAATAAGCAATATTTTAGGTTAAAAACAGGGATTTCTAGGAAAATAAGTGATATTTGAGGTTAAAAACAGGGATTTCTATGAAAATAAGCGATATTTGAGGTTAAAAACAGGGATTTCTATGAAAATAAGCGATATTTTAGGTGGAAAACAGGGATTTCTATGAAAATAAGCGATATTTTAGGTTAAAAACAGGGATTTCTAGGAAAATAAGCGATATTTTAGGTTAAAAACAGGGATTTCGATGAAAATAAGCGATATTTCAGGTTAAAAACAGGGATTTCTATGAAAATAAGCGATATTTGAGGATAAAAACTGGGATTTCTATGAAAATAAGCGATATTTAAGGGGAAAAACAGGGATTTCTATGAAAATAAGCGATATTTTATGGGGGAAAACAGGGATTTCTATGAAAATAAGCGATATTTTAGGGAAAAACAGGGATTTCTTTGAAAATAAGCGATATTTTAGGTTAAAAACAGGGATTTCTATGAAAATAAGCGATATTTTAGGTTAAAAACAGGGATTTCTAGGAAAATAAGCGATATTTAAGGGGAAAAACAGGGATTTCTAGGAAAATAAGCGATATCTTAGGTTAAAAACAGGGATTTCTATGAAAATAAGCGATATTTTAGGTTAAAAACAGGGATTTCTAGGAAAATAAGCGATATTTTAGGTTAAAAACTGGGATTTCTATGAAAATAAGCGATATTTTAGGTTAAAAACAGGGATTTCTATGAAAATAAGCGATATTTAAGGGGAAAAACAGGGATTTCTATGAAAATAAGCGATATTTAAGGGGAAAAACAGGGATTTCTACGAAAATAAGCGATATTTTAGGTTAAAAACTGGGATTTCTATGAAAATAAGCGATATTTAAGGGGAAAAACAGGGATTTCTATGAAAATAAGCGATATTTTATGTTAAAAACTGGGATTTCTATGAAAATAAGCAATATTTAAGGGGAAAAACAGGGATTTCTATGAAAATAAGCGATATTTGAGGTTGAAAACTGGGATTTCTATGAAAATAAGCGATATTTTAGGTTAAAAACAGGGATTTCTACGCAAATAAGCGATATATGAGGATAAAAACAGGGATTTCTATGAAAATAAGCGATATTTTAGGTTAAAAACAGGGATTTCTATGAAAACAAGCTGTATTTAAGGCGAAAAACTGGGATTTCTATGAAAATAAGCGATATTTGAGGTTAAAAACAGGGATTTCTATGAAAATAAGCGATATTTAAGGGGAAAAACTGGGATTTCTAGGAAAATAAGCGATATTTTAGGTTAAAAACAGGGATTTCTAGGAAAATAAGCGATATTTTAGGTTAAAAACAGGGATTTCTATGAAAATAAGCGATATTTGAGGTTAAAAACTGGGATTTCTATGAAAATAAGCGATATTTTAGGTTAGAAACAGGGATTTCTATGAAAATAAGCGATATTTTAGGTTAAAAACAGGGATTTCTAGGAAAATAAGCGATATTTGAGGTTAAAAACAGGGATTTCTATGAAAATAAGCGATATTTAAGGGGAAAAACAGGGATTTCTATGAAAATAAGCGATATCTTAGGATAAAAACAGGGATTTCTATGAAAATAAGCGATATTTTAGGATAAAAACAGGGATTTCTATGAAAATAAGCGATATTTTAGGTTGAAAACAGGGATTTCTATGGAAATAAGCGATATTTTAGGTTAAAAACAGGGATTTCTATGAAAATAAGCGATATTTTAGGTTAAAAACAGGGATTTCTATGAAAATAAGCGATATTTGAGGTTAAAAACAGGGATTTCTATGAAAATAAGCGATATTTAAGGGGAAAAACTGGGATTTCTATGAAAATAAGCAATATTTGAGGTTAAAAACAGGGATTTCTAGGAAAATAAGCGATATTTTAGGTTAAAAACAGGGATTTCTAGGAAAATAAGCGATATTTAAGGGGAAAAACAGGGATTTCTATGAAAATAAGCGATATTTAAGGGGAAAAACAGGGATTTCTATGAAAATAAGCGATATTTAAGGGGAAAAATAGGGATTTCTATGAAAATAAGCGATATTTAAGGGGAAAAACAGGGATTTCTATGAAAATAAGCGATATTTAGATGATAAAAACAGGGATTTCTAGGAAAATAAGCGATATTTTAGGTTAAAAACAGGGATTTCTATGAAAATAAGCGATATTTAAGGGGAAAAACAGGGATTTCTATGAAAATAAGCGATATTTAAGGGGAAAAACAGGGATTTCTATGAAAATAAGCGATATTTGAGGTTAAAAACTGGGATTTCTATGAAAATAAGCGATATTTAAGGGGAAAAACTGGGATTTCTATGAAAATAAGCGATATTTTAGGTTAAAAACTGGGATTCCTATGAAAATAAGCAATATTTAAGGGGAAAAACAGGGATTTCTATGAAAATAAGCGATATTTTAGGTTAAAAACAGGGATTTCTAGGAAAATAAGCGATATTTAAGGTTAAAAACTGGGATTTCTATGAAAATAAGCGATATTTGAGGTTAAAAACAGGGATTTCTATGAAAATAAGCGATATTTTAGGTTAAAAACTGGGATTTCTATGAAAATAAGCGATATTTTAGGTTAAAAACTGGGATTTCTAGGAAAATAAGCGATATTTGAGGTTAAAAACAGGGATTTCTAGGAAAATAAGCGATATTTTACGTTAAAAACTGGGATTTCTATGGAAATAAGCGATATTTGAGGTTAAAAACTGGGATATCTATGAAAATAAGTGATAATTATGGGGGAAAACAGGGATTTCTATGAAAATAAGCGATATTGTAGGGGAATAACAGGGATTTCTATGAAAATAAGCGATATTTGAGGTTAAAAACAGGGATTTCTATGAAAATAAGCGATATTTTAGGTTAAAAACTGGGATTTCTATGGAAATAAGCGATATTTTAGGTTAAAAACAAGGATTTCTATGAAAATAAGCGATATTTGAGGTTAAAAACAGGGATTTGTATGAAAATAAGTGATAATTATGGGGGAAAACAGGGATTTCTATGAAAATAAGCGATATTTTAGGTTAAAAACTGGGATTTCTAGGAAATTAAGCAATATTTAAGGTTAAAAACAGGGATTTCTAGGAAAATAAGCGATATTTTACGTTAAAAACTGGGATTTCTATGGAAATAAGCGATATTTAAGGGGAAAAACTGGGATATTTATGAAAATAAGTGATAATTATGGGGGAAAACAGGGATTTCTATGAAAATAAGCGATATTTTAGGGGAATAACAGGGATTTCTATGAAAATAAGCGATATTTGAGGTTAAAAACAGGGATTTCTATGAAAATAAGCGATATTTTAGGTTAAAAACTGGGATTTCTATGGAAATAAGCGATATTTTAGGTTAAAAACAAGGATTTCTATGAAAATAAGCGATATTTGATGTTAAAAACAGGGATTTCTATGAAAATAAGTGATAATTATGGGGGAAAACAGGGATTTCTATGAAAATAAGCGATATTTTAGGTTAAAAACAGGGATTTCTAGGAAAATAAGCGATATTTAAGGTTAAAAACAGGGATTTCTATGAAAATAAGCGATATTTAAGGGGAAAAACAGGGATTTCTACGAAAATAAGCGATATTTTAGGGGAAAACAGGGATTTCTATGAAAATAAGCGATATGTTAGGTTAAAAACTGGGATTTCTATGAAAATAAGCGATATTTTAGGTTAAAAACAGGGATTTCTATGAAAATAAGCGATATTTTAGGTTAAAAACAGGGATTTCTAGGAAAATAAGCGATATTTAAGGGGAAAAACAGGGATTTCTATGAAAATAAGCGATATTTAAGGGGAAAAACAGGGATTTCTATGAAAATAAGCGATATTTAAGGTTAAAAACAGGGATTTCTATGAAAATAAGCGATATTTAAGGTTAAAAACTGGGATTTCTATGAAAATAAGCGATATTTTAGGTTAAAAACAGGGATTTCTATGAAAATAAGCGATATTTTAGGTTAAAAACAGGGATTTCTATGAAAACAAGCGATATTTAAGGGGAAAAACTGGGATTTCTATGAAAATAAGCGATATTTGAGGTTAAAAACAGGGATTTCTAGGAAAATAAGCGATATTTTAGGTTAAAAACAGGGATTTCTAGGAAAATAAGCGATATTTAAGGGGAAAAACAGGGATTTCTATGAAAATAAGCGATATTTAAGGGGAAAAACAGGGATTTCTATGAAAATAAGCGATATTTAAGGGGAAAAACAGGGATTTCTATGAAAATAAGCGATATTTAAGGGGAAAAACAGGGATTTCTATGAAAATAAGCGATATTTAGATGATAAAAACAGGGATTTCTAGGAAAATAAGCGATATTTTAGGTTAAAAACAGGGATTTCTATGAAAATAAGCGATATTTAAGGGGAAAAACAGGGATTTCTATGAAAATAAGCGATATTTAAGGGGAAAAACAGGGATTTCTATGAAAATAAGCGATATTTGAGGTTAAAAACTGGGATTTCTATGAAAATAAGCGATATTTAAGGGGAAAAACTGGGATTTCTATGAAAATAAGCGATATTTTAGGTTAAAAACTGGGATTCCTATGAAAATAAGCAATATTTAAGGGGAAAAACAGGGATTTCTATGAAAATAAGCGATATTTTAGGTTAAAAACAGGGATTTCTAGGAAAATAAGCGATATTTAAGGTTAAAAACTGGGATTTCTATGAAAATAAGCGATATTTGAGGTTAAAAACAGGGATTTCTATGAAAATAAGCGATATTTTAGGTTAAAAACTGGGATTTCTATGAAAATAAGCGATATTTTAGGTTAAAAACTGGGATTTCTAGGAAAATAAGCGATATTTGAGGTTAAAAACAGGGATTTCTAGGAAAATAAGCGATATTTTACGTTAAAAACTGGGATTTCTATGGAAATAAGCGATATTTGAGGTTAAAAACTGGGATATCTATGAAAATAAGTGATAATTATGGGGGAAAACAGGGATTTCTATGAAAATAAGCGATATTTTAGGGGAATAACAGGGATTTCTATGAAAATAAGCGATATTTGAGGTTAAAAACAGGGATTTCTATGAAAATAAGCGATATTTTAGGTTAAAAACTGGGATTTCTATGGAAATAAGCGATATTTTAGGTTAAAAACAAGGATTTCTATGAAAATAAGCGATATTTTAGGTTAAAAACAGGGATTTCTATGAAAATAAGTGATAATTATGGGGGAAAACAGGGATTTCTATGAAAATAAGCGATATTTTAGGTTAAAAACTGGGATTTCTAGGAAATTAAGCGATATTTAAGGTTAAAAACAGGGATTTCTAGGAAAATAAGCGATATTTTACGTTAAAAACTGGGATTTCTATGGAAATAAGCGATATTTAAGGGGAAAAACTGGGATATTTATGAAAATAAGTGATAATTATGGGGGAAAACAGGGATTTCTATGAAAATAAGCGATATTTTAGGGGAATAACAGGGATTTCTATGAAAATAAGCGATATTTGAGGTTAAAAACAGGGATTTCTATGAAAATAAGCGATATTTTAGGTTAAAAACTGGGATTTCTATGGAAATAAGCGATATTTTAGGTTAAAAACAAGGATTTCTATGAAAATAAGCGATATTTGAGGTTAAAAACAGGGATTTCTATGAAAATAAGTGATAATTATGGGGGAAAACAGGGATTTCTATGAAAATAAGCGATATTTTAGGTTAAAAACAGGGATTTCTAGGAAAATAAGCGATATTTAAGGTTAAAAACAGGGATTTCTATGAAAATAAGCGATATTTAAGGGGAAAAACTGGGATTTCTATGAAAATAAGCGATATTTGAAGTTAAAAACAGGGATTTCTAGGAAAATAAGCGATATTTAAGGGGAAAAACAGGGATTTCTATGAAAATAAGCGATATTTAAGGGGAAAAACAGGGATTTCTATGAAAATAAGCGATATTTTAGGTTAAAAACAGGGATTTCTATGAAAATAAGCGATATTTTAGGTTAAAAACTGGGATTTCTATGAAAATAAGCGATATTTAAGGGGAAAAACAGGGATTTCTATGAAAATAAGCGATATTTAAGGTTAAAAACAGGGATTTCTATGAAAATAAGCGATATTTAAGGTTAAAAACTGGGATTTCTATGAAAATAAGTGATATTTTAGGTTAAAAACAGGGATTTCTATGAAAATAAGCGATATTTAAGGGGAAAAACAGGGATTTCTATGAAAACAAGCGATATTTAAGGGGAAAAACTGGGATTTCTATGAAAATAAGCGATATTTGAGGTTAAAAACAGGGATTTCTATGAAAATAAGCGATATTTGAGGTTAAAAACAGGGATTTCTATGGAAATAAGTGATATTTTAGGTTAAAAACAGGGATTTCTATGAAAATAAGCGATATTTGAGGGGAAAAACTGGGATTTCTATGGAAATAAGCGATATTTGAGGTTAAAAACAGGGATTTCTATGAAAATAAGCAATATTTTAGGTTAAAAACTGGGATTTCTATGGAAATAAGCGATATTTTAGGTTAAAAACAGGGATTTCTATGAAAATAAGCGATATTTGAGGTTAAAAACAGGGATTTCTATGGAAATAAGCGATATTTTAGGTTAAAAACAGGGATTTCTAGGAAAATAAGCGATATTTTAGGTTAAAAACAGGGATTTCTATGAAAATAAGCGATATTTGAGGTTAAAAACAGGGATTTCTATGAAAATAAGCGATATTTAAGGTTAAAAACAGGGATTTCTATGAAAATAAGCGATATTTAAGGGGAAAAACAGGGATTTCTATGAAAATAAGCGATATTTGAGGTTAAAAACAGGGATTTCTAGGAAAATAAGCGATATTTTAGGTTAAAAACAGGGATTTCAATGAAAATAAGCGATATTTCAGGTTAAAAACAGGGATTTCTATGAAAATAAGCGATATTTAAGGGGAAAAACAGGGATTTCTATGAAAATAAGCGATATTTTAGGTTGAAAACTGGGATTTCTAGGAAAATAAGCGATATTTTAGGTTAAAAACTGGGATTTCTATGGAAATAAGCGATATTTGAGGATAAAAACAGGGATTTCTATGAAAATAACGGATATTTTAGGTTAAAAACAGGGATTTCTATGAAAATAAGCGATATTTAAGGGGAAAAACTGGGATTTCTATGAAAATAAGCGATATTTGAGGTTAAAAACAGGGATTTCTATGAAAATAAGCGATATTTAAGGGGAAAAACAGGGATTTCTATGAAAATAAGCGATATTTAAGGGGAAAAACAGGGATTTCTAGGAAAATAAGCGATATTTGAGGTTAAAAACAGGGATTTCTATGAAAATAAGCGATATTTAAGGGGAAAAACTGGGATTTCTATGAAAATAAGCGATATTTAAGGGGAAAAACAGGGATTTCTATGAAAATAAGCGATATTTTAGGGGAAAAACTGGGATTTCTATGGAAATAAGCGATATTTTAGGTTAAAAACAGGGATTTCTATGAAAATAAGCGATATTTGAGGATAAAAACAGGGATTTCTATGAAAATAAGCGATATCTTAGGTTAAAAACAGGGATTTCTAGGAAAATAAGCGATATTTAAGGGGAAAAACAGGGATTTCTATGAAAATAAGCGATATTTAGGGGGAAAAACTGGGATTTCTATGAAAATAAGCGATATTTAAGGGGAAAAACAGGGATTTCTATGAAAATAAGCGATATTTAAGGTTAAAAACAGGGATTTCTATGAAAATAAGCGATATTTAAGGTTAAAAACTGGGATTTCTATGAAAATAAGCGATATTTTAGGTTAAAAACAGGGATTTCTATGAAAATAAGCGATATTTGAGGTTAAAAACAGGGATTTCTATGGAAATAAGTGATATTTTAGGTTAAAAACAGGGATTTCTATGAAAATAAGCGATATTTGAGGGGAAAAACTGGGATTTCTATGGAAATAAGCGATATTTGAGGTTAAAAACAGGGATTTCTATGAAAATAAGCAATATTTTAGGTTAAAAACTGGGATTTCTATGGAAATAAGCGATATTTTAGGTTAAAAACAGGGATTTCTATGAAAATAAGCGATATTTGAGGTTAAAAACAGGGATTTCTATGGAAATAAGCGATATTTTAGGTTAAAAACAGGGATTTCTAGGAAAATAAGCGATATTTTAGGTTAAAAACAGGGATTTCTATGAAAATAAGCGATATTTGAGGTTAAAAACAGGGATTTCTATGAAAATAAGCGATATTTAAGGTTAAAAACAGGGATTTCTATGAAAATAAGCGATATTTTAGGTTAGAAACAGGGATTTCTATGAAAATAAGCGATATTTGAGGTTAAAAACAGGGATTTCTAGGAAAATAAGCGATATTTTAGGTTAAAAACAGGGATTTCAATGAAAATAAGCGATATTTCAGGTTAAAAACAGGGATTTCTATGAAAATAAGCGATATTTAAGGTTAAAAACAGGGATTTCTAGGAAAATAAGCGATATTTTAGGTTAAAAACTGGGATTTCTAGGAAAATAAGCGATATTTTAGGTTAAAAACAGGGATTTCTATGAAAATAAGCGATATTTGAGGTTAAAAACAGGGATTTCTAGGAAAATAAGCGATATTTAAGGGGAAAAACAGGGATTTCTATGAAAATAAGCGATATTTAAGGGGAAAAACAGGGATTTCTATGAAAATAAGCGATATTTAAGAGGAAAAACAGGGATTTCTATGAAAATAAGCGATATTTTAGGTTAAAAACAGGGATTTCTATGAAAATAAGCGATATCTTAGGATAAAAACTGGGATTTCTATGAAAATAAGCGATATTTGAGGTTAAAAACAGGGATTTCTATGAAAATAAGCGATATTTGAGGATAAAAACAGGGATTTCTATGAAAATAAGTGATATTTAAGGGGAAAAACAGGAATTTGTACGAAAATAAGCAATATCTAAGGGGAAAAACTGGGATTTCTATGAAAATAAGTGATATTTAAGGGGAAAAACAGGGATTTCTATGAAAATAAGCGATATTTGAGGTTAAAAACTGGGATTTCTATGAAAATAAGCGATATTTAAGGGGAAAAATAGGGATTTCTACGAAAATAAGCGATATTTTAGGGGAAAAACTGGGATTTCTATGAAAATAAGTGATATTTAAATTAAAAAACAGGAATTTCTAGGAAAATAAGCGATATTTTAGGATTAAAAACAGGGATTTCTATGAAAATATGTCATATTTTAGGGGAATAATAGGGATTTCTATGAAATTAAGCAATATTTAAGGTTAAAAACAGGAATTCCTATGAAAATAAGCGGCATTTTAGGGGAATAACAGGGATTTCTATGAAAATAAGCGATATTTGAGGATAAAAACAGGGATTTCTATGAAAATAACGGATATTTGAGGTTAAAAACAGGGATTTCTAGGAAAATAAGCAATATTTTAGGGGAAAAACTGGGATTTCTATGAAAATAAGCAATATTTCAGGGGAAAAACAGGGATTTCCATGAAAATAATTGGCATTTTAGGGTTAAAAACAGGGATTTCTATGAAAATAAGCGATATTTGAGGTTAAAAACAGGGATTTCTATGAAAATAAGCGATATTTAAGGGGAAAAACAGGGATTTCTATGAAAATAAGCGATATTTTAGGGTTAAAAACTGGGATTTCTATGAAAATAAGCGATATTTAAGGGGAAAAACTGGGATTTCTATGAAAATAAGCGATATTTGAGGTTAAAAACTGGGATTTCTAGGAAAATAAGCAATATTTTAGGGGAAAAACAGGGATTTCTATGAAAATAAGCAATATTTCAGGGGAAAAACAGGGATTTCCATGAAAATAATTGGCATTTTAGGGTTAAAAACAAGGATTTCTATGAAAATAAGCGATATTTGAGGATAAAAACAGGGATTTCTATGAAAATAAGTGATATTTAATTTAAAAAACAGGGATTTCGACGAATATATGCGATATTTAAGTGGAAAAACACGCTTTTCCAGGAAAGCAAGCGATATTTTAGGTTAAAAATAGGGATTTCTAGGAAAGTAAGCGATATTTAAGGTTAAAAGCAGGGATTTCTATGAAAATAAACGATATTTAGGGGATAAAAACAGGGATTTCTATGAAAATAAGCGTTGTTTGAGGTTAAAAACAGGGATTTCTATGGAAATAAGCGATATTTTGGGTTAAAAAAAGAGATTTCTTTGAAAATAAGCGATATTTATATTAGAAAAAGGGATTTCTATGAAAATAAGTGATATTTAAGGTTAAAAACAGGGATTTCTATGGAAATAAGCGATATTTAAGGGGAAAAATAGGGATTTCTATGATAATAAGCGATATTTTAGGATTAAAAACAGGGATTTCTATGAAAATATGTCATATTTTAGGGGAATAATAGGGATTTCTATGAAATTTAGCTATATTTAAGGTTAAAAACAGGAATTTCTATGAAAATAAGCGGTAGTTTAGGAGAATAACAGTGATTTCCAGTAAAATATGGGATATTTTAGGGTTAAAAACAGTGATTTCTATGAAAATAAGCGCTATTTAAGGGGAAAAACAGGGATTTCTATGAAAATAAGCGATATTTGAGGGGAAAAACAGGGATTTCTAGGAAAATAAGTGATATTTAAGTGGAAAAACAGGGATTTCTATGAAAATAAGCAATATTTCAGGGGAAAAACAGGGATTTCCATGAAAATAATTGGCATTTTAGGGTTAAAAACAGGGATTTCTAGGAAAATAAGCGATATTTGAGGTTGAAAACAGGGATTTCTATGAAAATAAGCGATATTTAAGGGGAAAATCAGGGATTTCTAGTAAAATATGCGATATTTTAGGGTTAAAAACAGGGATTTCTAAAAAAATAAGTGATATTTAATTTAAAAAACAGGGATTTCTACGAATATATGCGATATTTAAGTGGAAAAACAGGCATTTCCAGGAAAGCAAGCGATATTTGAGGTTAAAAACAGGGATTTCTAGGAAAGTAAGCGATATTTAAGGGATAAAAACAGGGATTTCTATGAAAATAAGCGTTGTTTGACGTTAAAAACAGGGATTTGTTTGGAAATAACCTATATTTTGGGTTAAAAAAAGAGATTTCTTTGAAAATAAGCGATATATATATTAGAAAAAGGGATTTCTATGAAAATAAGCGATATTTAAGGTTAAAAACAGGGATATCTATGGAAATAAGCGATATTTTAGGTTAAAAACTGGGATTTCTAGTAATATATGCGATATTTTAGGGTTAAAAACAGGGATTTCTACGAAAATAAGCAATATTTGAGGTTAAAAACAGGGATTTCTATGATAATAAGCGATATTTAAGGGGAAAAACAGGGATTTCTATGAAAATAAGCGATATTTGAGGTTAAAAACAGGGATTTCTATGAAAATAAGCGATATTTGAGGTTAAAAACAGGGATTTCTATGAAAATAAGTGATATTTTAGGTTAAAAACAGGGATTTCCATGGAAATAAGCGATATTTGAGGTTAAAAACTGGGATTTCTATGAAAATAAGCGATATTTTAGGTTAAAAACAGGGATTTCTATGAAAATAAGCGATATTTGAGGTTAAAAACAGGGATTTCTATGAAAATAAGCGATATTTGAGGTTAAAAACAGGGATTTCTATGGAAATAAGTGATATTTTAGGTTAAAAACAGGGATTTCTATGGAAATAAGCGATATTTGAGGGGAAAAACTGGGATTTCTATGGAAATAAGCGATATTTGAGGTTAAAAACTGGGATTTCTATGAAAATAAGCGATATTTTAGGTTAAAAACTGGGATTTCTATGGAAATAAGCGATATTTTAGGTTAAAAACAGGGATTTCTATGAAAATAAGCGATATTTGAGGTTAAAAACAGGGATTTCTATGGAAATAAGCGATATTTTAGGTTAAAAACAGGGATTTCTAGGAAAATAAGCGATATTTTAGGTTAAAAACAGGGATTTCTATGAAAATAAGCGATATTTAAGGGGAAAAACAGGGATTTCTATGAAAATAAGCGATATTTAAGGGGAAAAACAGGGATTTCTATGAAAATAAGCGATATTTGAGGTTAAAAACTGGGATTTCTAGGAAAATAAGCAATATTTTAGGGGAAAAACAGGGATTTCAATGAAAATAAGTGATATTTTAGGTTAAAAACAGGGATTTCTATGAAAATAAGCGATATTTAACGGGAAAAACAGGGATTTCTATGAAAATAAGCGATATTTGAGGTTAAAAACTGGGATTTCTATGAAAATAAGCGATATTTTAGGTTAGAAACAGGGATTTCTATGAAAATAAGCGATATTTTAGGTTAAAAACAGGGATTTCTAGGAAAATAAGCGATATTTGAGGTTAAAAACAGGGATTTCTATGAAAATAAGCGATATTTAAGGGGAAAAACAGGGATTTCTATGAAAATAAGCGATATCTTAGGATAAAAACAGGGATTTCTATGAAAATAAGCGATATTTTAGGATAAAAACAGGGATTTCTATGAAAATAAGCGATATTTTAGGTTGAAAACAGGGATTTCTATGGAAATAAGCGATATTTTAGGTTAAAAACAGGGATTTCTATGAAAATAAGCGATATTTGAGGTTAAAAACAGGGATTTCTATGAAAATAAGCGATATTTAAGGGGAAAAACTGGGATTTCTATGAAAATAAGCGATATTTGAGGTTAAAAACAGGGATTTCTAGGAAAATAAGCGATATTTTAGGTTAAAAACAGGGATTTCTAGGAAAATAAGCGATATTTAAGGGGAAAAACAGGGATTTCTATGAAAATAAGCGATATTTAAGGGGAAAAACAGGGATTTCTATGAAAATAAGCGATATTTAAGGGGAAAAACAGGGATTTCTATGAAAATAAGCGATATTTAAGGGGAAAAACAGGGATTTCTATGAAAATAAGCGATATTTTAGGTTAAAAACTGGGATATCTATGAAAATAAGTGATATTTAAGGGGAAAAACAGGGATTTCTATGAAAATAAGCGATATTTAAGGGGAAAAACAGGGATTTCTATGAAAATAAGCGATATTTGAGGTTAAAAACTGGGATTTCTATGAAAATAAGCGATATTTAAGGGGAAAAACTGGGATTTCTATGAAAATAAGCGATATTTTAGGTTAAAAACTGGGATTCCTATGAAAATAAGCAATATTTAAGGGGAAAAACAGGGATTTCTATGAAAATAAGCGATATTTTAGGTTAAAAACAGGGATTTCTAGGAAAATAAGCGATATTTAAGGTTAAAAACTGGGATTTCTATGAAAATAAGCGATATTTGAGGTTAAAAACAGGGATTTCTATGAAAATAAGCGATATTTTAGGTTAAAAACAGGGATTTCTATGAAAATAAGCGATATTTTAGGTTAAAAACTGGGATTTCTATGAAAATAAGCGATATTTGAGGTTAAAAACAGGGATTTCTATGGAAATAAGCGATATTTTAGGTTAAAAACAGGGATTTCTATGAAAATAAGCGATATTTGAGGGGAAAAACAGGGATTTCTAGGAAAATAAGTGATATTTAAGTGGAAAAACAGGGATTTCTATGAAAATAAGCAATATTTCAGGGGAAAAACAGGGATTTCCATGAAAATAATTGGCATTTTAGGGTTAAAAACAGGGATTTCTAGGAAAATAAGCGATATTTGAGGTTGAAAACAGGGATTTCTATGAAAATAAGCGATATTTAAGGGGAAAATCAGGGATTTCTAGTAAAATATGCGATATTTTAGGGTTAAAAACAGGGATTTCTAAAAAAATAAGTGATATTTAATTTAAAAAACAGGGATTTCTACGAATATATGCGATATTTAAGTGGAAAAACAGGCATTTCCAGGAAAGCAAGCGATATTTGAGGTTAAAAACAGGGATTTCTAGGAAAGTAAGCGATATTTAAGGGATAAAAACAGGGATTTCTATGAAAATAAGCGTTGTTTGACGTTAAAAACAGGGATTTGTTTGGAAATAACCTATATTTTGGGTTAAAAAAAGAGATTTCTTTGAAAATAAGCGATATATATATTAGAAAAAGGGATTTCTATGAAAATAAGCGATATTTAAGGTTAAAAACAGGGATATCTATGGAAATAAGCGATATTTTAGGTTAAAAACTGGGATTTCTAGTAATATATGCGATATTTTAGGGTTAAAAACAGGGATTTCTACGAAAATAAGCAATATTTGAGGTTAAAAACAGGGATTTCTATGATAATAAGCGATATTTAAGGGGAAAAACAGGGATTTCTATGAAAATAAGCGATATTTGAGGTTAAAAACAGGGATTTCTATGAAAATAAGCGATATTTGAGGTTAAAAACAGGGATTTCTATGAAAATAAGTGATATTTTAGGTTAAAAACAGGGATTTCCATGGAAATAAGCGATATTTGAGGTTAAAAACTGGGATTTCTATGAAAATAAGCGATATTTTAGGTTAAAAACAGGGATTTCTATGAAAATAAGCGATATTTGAGGTTAAAAACAGGGATTTCTATGAAAATAAGCGATATTTGAGGTTAAAAACAGGGATTTCTATGGAAATAAGTGATATTTTAGGTTAAAAACAGGGATTTCTATGAAAATAAGCGATATTTGAGGGGAAAAACTGGGATTTCTATGGAAATAAGCGATATTTGAGGTTAAAAACTGGGATTTCTATGAAAATAAGCGATATTTTAGGTTAAAAACTGGGATTTCTATGGAAATAAGCGATATTTTAGGTTAAAAACAGGGATTTCTATGAAAATAAGCGATATTTGAGGTTAAAAACAGGGATTTCTATGGAAATAAGCGATATTTTAGGTTAAAAACAGGGATTTCTAGGAAAATAAGCGATATTTTAGGTTAAAAACAGGGATTTCTATGAAAATAAGCGATATTTTAGGGGAAAAACAGGGATTTCTATGAAAATAAGCGATATTTAAGGGGAAAAACAGGGATTTCTATGAAAATAAGCGATATTTGAGGTTAAAAACTGGGATTTCTAGGAAAATAAGCAATATTTTAGGGGAAAAACAGGGATTTCAATGAAAATAAGTGATATTTTAGGTTAAAAACAGGGATTTCTATGAAAATAAGCGATATTTAACGGGAAAAACAGGGATTTCTATGAAAATAAGCGATATTTGAGGTTAAAAACTGGGATTTCTATGAAAATAAGCGATATTTTAGGTTAGAAACAGGGATTTCAGTGAAAATAAGCGATATTTTAGGTTAAAAACAGGGATTTCTAGGAAAATAAGCGATATTTGAGGTTAAAAACAGGGATTTCTATGAAAATAAGCGATATTTAAGGGGAAAAACAGGGATTTCTATGAAAATAAGCGATATCTTAGGATAAAAACAGGGATTTCTATGAAAATAAGCGATATTTTAGGATAAAAACAGGGATTTCTATGAAAATAAGCGATATTTTAGGTTGAAAACAGGGATTTCTATGGAAATAAGCGATATTTTAGGTTAAAAACAGGGATTTCTATGAAAATAAGCGATATTTTAGGTTAAAAACAGGGATTTCTATGAAAATAAGCGATATTTGAGGTTAAAAACAGGGATTTCTATGAAAATAAGCGATATTTAAGGGGAAAAACTGGGATTTCTATGAAAATAAGCGATATTTGAGGTTAAAAACAGGGATTTCTAGGAAAATAAGCGATATTTTAGGTTAAAAACAGGGATTTCTAGGAAAATAAGCGATATTTAAGGGGAAAAACAGGGATTTCTAGGAAAATAAGCGATATTTGAGGTTAAAAACAGGGATTTCTATGAAAATAAGCGATATTTAAGGGGAAAAACAGGGATTTCTATGAAAATAAGCGATATTTAAGGGGAAAAACAGGGATTTCTATGAAAATAAGCGATATTTAGATGATAAAAACAGGGATTTCTAGGAAAATAAGCGATATTTTAGGTTAAAAACAGGGATTTCTATGAAAATAAGCGATATTTAAGGGGAAAAACAGGGATTTCTATGAAAATAAGCGATATTTAAGGGGAAAAACAGGGATTTCTATGAAAATAAGCGATATTTGAGGTTAAAAACTGGGATTTCTATGAAAATAAGCGATATTTAAGGGGAAAAACTGGGATTTCTATGAAAATAAGCGATATTTTAGGTTAAAAACTGGGATTCCTATGAAAATAAGCAATATTTAAGGGGAAAAACAGGGATTTCTATGAAAATAAGTGATATTTTAGGTTAAAAACAGGGATTTCTAGGAAAATAAGCGATATTTAAGGTTAAAAACTGGGATTTCTATGAAAATAAGCGATATTTGAGGTTAAAAACAGGGATTTCTATGAAAATAAGCGATATTTTAGGTTAAAAACTGGGATTTCTATGAAAATAAGCGATATTTTAGGTTAAAAACTGGGATTTCTATGAAAATAAGCGATATTTGAGGTTAAAAACAGGGATTTCTAGGAAAATAAGCGATATTTTACGTTAAAAACTGGGATTTCTATGGAAATAAGCGATATTTAAGGGGAAAAACTGGGATATCTATGAAAATAAGTGATAATTATGGGGGAAAACAGGGATTTCTATGAAAATAAGCGATATTTTAGGGGAATAACAGGGATTTCTATGAAAATAAGCGATATTTGAGGTTAAAAACAGGGATTTCTATGAAAATAAGCGATATTTTAGGTTAAAAACAGGGATTTCTATGGAAATAAGCGATATTTTAGGTTAAAAACAGGGATTTCTATGAAAATAAGCGATATTTGAGGTTAAAAACAGGGATTTCTATGAAAATAAGTGATAATTATGGGGGAAAACAGGGATTTCTATGAAAATAAGCGATATTTTAGGTTAAAAACTGGGATTTCTATGAAAATAAGCGATATTTAAGGTTAAAAACAGGGATTTCTAGGAAAATAAGCGATATTTTACGTTAAAAACAGGGATTTCTATGGAAATAAGCGATATTTAAGGGGAAAAACAGGGATATTTATGAAAATAAGCGATAATTATGGGGGAAAACAGGGATTTCTATGAAAATAAGCGATATTTTAGGGGAATAACAGGGATTTCTATGAAAATAAGCGATATTTGAGGTTAAAAACAGGGATTTCTATGAAAATAAGCGATATTTTAGGTTAAAAACTGGGATTTCTATGGAAATAAGCGATATTTTAGGTTAAAAACTGGGATTTCTATGAAAATAAGCGATATTTGAGGTTAAAAACAGGGATTTCTATGAAAATAAGTGATAATTATGGGGGAAAACAGGGATTTCTATGAAAATAAGCGATATTTTAGGTTAAAAACAGGGATTTCTAGGAAAATAAGCGATATTTAAGGTTAAAAACAGGGATTTCTATGAAAATAAGCGATATTTAAGGGGAAAAACAGGGATTTCTACGAAAATAAGCGATATTTTAGGGGAAAACAGGGATTTCTATGAAAATAAGCGATATGTTAGGTTAAAAACTGGGATTTCTATGAAAATAAGCGATATTTTAGGTTAAAAACAGGGATTTCTATGAAAATAAGCGATATTTTAGGTTAAAAACAGGGATTTCTATGAAAATAAGCGATATTTAAGGGGAAAAACAGGGATTTCTATGAAAATAAGCGATATTTAAGGGGAAAAACAGGGATTTCTATGAAAATAAGCGATATTTAAGGTTAAAAACAGGGATTTCTATGAAAATAAGCGATATTTAAGGTTAAAAACAGGGATTTCTATGAAAATAAGCGATATTTTAGGTTAAAAACAGGGATTTCTATGAAAATAAGCGATATTTTAGGTTAAAAACAGGGATTTCTAGGAAAAGCGATATTTAAGGGGAAAAACTGGGATTTCTATGAAAATAAGCGATATTTGAGGTTAAAAACAGGGATTTCTATGAAAATAAGCGATATTTGAGGTTAAAAACAGGGATTTCTATGGAAATAAGTGATATTTTAGGTTAAAAACAGGGATTTCTATGAAAATAAGCGATATTTGAGGGGAAAAACTGGGATTTCTATGGAAATAAGCGATATTTGAGGTTAAAAACAGGGATTTCTATGAAAATAAGCAATATTTTAGGTTAAAAACTGGGATTTCTATGGAAATAAGCGATATTTTAGGTTAAAAACAGGGATTTCTATGAAAATAAGCGATATTTGAGGTTAAAAACAGGGATTTCTATGGAAATAAGCGATATTTTAGGTTAAAAACAGGGATGTCTAGGAAAATAAGCGATATTTTAGGTTAAAAACAGGGATTTCTATGAAAATAAGCGATATTTGAGGTTAAAAACAGGGATTTCTATGAAAATAAGCGATATTTAAGGTTAAAAACAGGGATTTCTATGAAAATAAGCGATATTTAAGGGGAAAAACAGGGATTTCTATGAAAATAAGCGATATTTGAGGTTAAAAACAGGGATTTCTAGGAAAATAAGCGATATTTTAGGTTAAAAACAGGGATTTCTATGAAAATAAGCGATATTTCAGGTTAAAAACAGGGATTTCTATGAAAATAAGCGATATTTAAGGGGAAAAACAGGGATTTCTATGAAAATAAGCGATATTTAAGGGGAAAACTGGGATTTCTAGGAAAATAAGCGATATTTTAGGTTAAAAACAGGGATTTCTATGAAAATAAGCGATATTTGAGGATAAAAACAGGGATTTCTATGAAAATAAGCGATATTTTAGGTTAAAAACAGGGATTTCTATGAAAATAAGCGATATTTAAGGGGAAAAACTGGGATTTCTATGAAAATAAGCGATATTTGAGGTTAAAAACAGGGATTTCTATGAAAATAAGCGATATTTAAGGGGAAAAACAGGGATTTCTATGAAAATAAGCGATATTTAAGGGGAAAAACAGGGATTTCTAGGAAAATAAGCGATATTTTAGGTTAAAAACAGGGATTTCGATGAAAATAAGCGATATTTAAGGGGAAAAACTGGGATTTCTATGAAAATAAGCGATATTTAAGGGGAAAAACAGGGATTTCTATGAAAATAAGCGATATTTTAGGGGAAAAACTGGGATTTCTATGAAAATAAGCGATATTTTAGGTTAAAAACAGGGATTTCTATGAAAATAAGCGATATTTGAGGATAAAAACAGGGATTTCTATGAAAATAAGCGATATCTTAGGTTAAAAACAGGGATTTCTAGGAAAATAAGCGATATTTAAGGGGAAAAACAGGGATTTCTATGAAAATAAGCGATATTTAGGGGGAAAAACTGGGATTTCTATGAAAATAAGCGATATTTGAGGTTAAAAACAGGGATTTCTAGGAAAATAAGCGATATTTAAGGGGAAAATCAGGGATTTCTAAAAAAATAAGCGATATTTTAGGTTAAAAACTGGGATTTCTATGAAAATAAGCGATATTTTAGGTTAAAAACTGGGATTTCTATGAAAATAAGCGATATTTAAGGGGAAAAACAGGGATTTCTATGAAAATAAGTGATATTTAAGGTTAAAAACAGGAATTTCTAGGAAAATAAGCGATATTTTAGGTTAAAAACAGGGATTTCTATGAAAATAAGCGATATTTTAGGTTAAAAACAGGGATTTCTATGGAAATAAGCGATATTTTATGGGAAAAACAGGGATTTCTATGAAAATAAGCGATATTTTAGGTTAAAAACAGGGATTTCTATGAAAATAAGCGATATTTAAGGTTAAAAACAGGGATTTCTATGAAAATAAGCGATATTTAAGGGGAAAAACAGGGATTTCTAGGAAAATAAGCGATATTTAAGGGGAAAAACAGGGATTTCTATGAAAATAAGCGATATTTAAGGGGAAAAAACTGGGATTTCTATGAAAATAAGCGATATTTGAGGTTAAAAACAGGGATATCTATGAAAATAAGCGATATTTTAGGTTAAAAACAGGGATTTCTATGAAAATAAGCGATATTTGAGGTTAAAAACAGGGATTTCTATGGAAATAAGCGATATTTAACGGGAAAAACAGGGATTTCTATGAAAATAAGCGATATTTGAGGTTAAAAACAGGGATTTCTATGAAAATAAGCGATATTTAAGGGGAAAAACAGGGATTTCTATGAAAATAAGCGATATTTTAGGTTAAAAACTGGGATTTCTATGAAAATAAGCGATATTTTAGGTTAAAAACAGGGATTTCTATGAAAATAAGCGATATTTTAGGTTAAAAACAGGGATTTCTATGAAAATAAGCGATATCTTAGGATAAAAACTGTGATTTCTATGAAAATAAGCGATATTTGAGGTTAAAAACAGGGATTTCTATGAAAATAAGCGATATTTGAGGATAAAAACAGGGATTTCTATGAAAATAAGCGATATTTAAGGGGAAAAACAGGGATTTGTACGAAAATAAGCGATATTTAAGGGGAAAAACTGGGATTTCTATGAAAATAAGTGATATTTAAGGGGAAAAACAGGGATTTCTATGAAAATAAGCGATATTTGAGGTTAAAAACTGGGATTTCTATGAAAATAAGCGATATTTAAGGGGAAAAATAGGGATTTCTACGAAAATAAGCGATATTTTAGGGGAAAAACTGGGATTTCTATGAAAATAAGTGATATTTAAATTAAAAAACAGGAATTTCTAGGAAAATAAGCGATATTTTAGGATTAAAAACAGGGATTTCTATGAAAATATGTCATATTTTAGGGGAATAATAGGGATTTCTATGAAATTAAGCAATATTTAAGGTTAAAAACAGGAATTCCTATGAAAATAAGCGGCATTTTAGGGGAATAACAGGGATTTCTAGTAAAATATGGGATATTTTCGTGTTGAAAACAGAGATTTCTATGAAAATAAGCGATATTTGAGGTTAAAAACAGGGATTTCTAGGAAAATAAGCAATATTTTAGGGGAAAAACTGGGATTTCTATGAAAATAAGCAATATTTCAGGGGAAAAACAGGGATTTCCATGAAAATAATTGGCATTTTAGGGTTAAAAACAGGGATTTCTATGAAAATAAGCGATATTTGAGGTTAAAAACAGGGATTTCTATGAAAATAAGCGATATTTAAGGGGAAAAACAGGGATTTCTATGAAAATAAGCGATATTTTAGGGTTAAAAACTGGGATTTCTATGAAAATAAGCGATATTTAAGGGGAAAAACTGGGATTTCTATGAAAATAAGCGATATTTGAGGTTAAAAACTGGGATTTCTAGGAAAATAAGCAATATTTTAGGGGAAAAACAGGGATTTCTATGAAAATAAGCGATATTTAAGGGGAAAAACAGGGATTTCCATGAAAATAATTGGCATTTTAGGGTTAAAAACAAGGATTTCTATGAAAATAAGCGATATTTGAGGATAAAAACAGGGATTTCTATGAAAATAAGTGATATTTAATTTAAAAAACAGGGATTTCGACGAATATATGCGATATTTAAGTGGAAAAACACGCTTTTCCAGGAAAGCAAGCGATATTTTAGGTTAAAAATAGGGATTTCTAGGAAAGTAAGCGATATTTAAGGTTAAAAACAGGGATTTCTATGAAAATAAACGATATTTAGGGGATAAAAACAGGGATTTCTATGAAAATAAGCGTTGTTTGAGGTTAAAAACAGGGATTTCTATGGAAATAAGCGATATTTTGGGTTAAAAAAAGAGATTTCTTTGAAAATAAGCGATATTTATATTAGAAAAAGGGATTTCTATGAAAATAAGTGATATTTAAGGTTAAAAACAGGGATTTCTATGGAAATAAGCGATATTTAAGGGGAAAAATAGGGATTTCTATGATAATAAGCGATATTTTAGGATTAAAAACAGGGATTTCTATGAAAATATGTCATATTTTAGGGGAATAATAGGGATTTCTATGAAATTTAGCTATATTTAAGGTTAAAAACAGGAATTTCTATGAAAATAAGCGGTAGTTTAGGAGAATAACAGTGATTTCCAGTAAAATATGGGATATTTTAGGGTTAAAAACAGGGATTTCTATGAAAATAAGCGCTATTTAAGGGGAAAAACAGGGATTTCTATGAAAATAAGCGATATTTGAGGGGAAAAACAGGGATTTCTAGGAAAATAAGTGATATTTAAGTGGAAAAACAGGGATTTCTATGAAAATAAGCAATATTTCAGGGGAAAAACAGGGATTTCCATGAAAATAATTGGCATTTTAGGGTTAAAAACAGGGATTTCTAGGAAAATAAGCGATATTTGAGGTTGAAAACAGGGATTTCTATGAAAATAAGCGATATTTAAGGGGAAAATCAGGGATTTCTAGTAAAATATGCGATATTTTAGGGTTAAAAACAGGGATTTCTAAAAAAATAAGTGATATTTAATTTAAAAAACAGGGATTTCTACGAATATATGCGATATTTAAGTGGAAAAACAGGCATTTCCAGGAAAGCAAGCGATATTTGAGGTTAAAAACAGGGATTTCTAGGAAAGTAAGCGATATTTAAGGGATAAAAACAGGGATTTCTATGAAAATAAGCGTTGTTTGACGTTAAAAACAGGGATTTGTTTGGAAATAACCTATATTTTGGGTTAAAAAAAGAGATTTCTTTGAAAATAAGCGATATATATATTAGAAAAAGGGATTTCTATGAAAATAAGCGATATTTAAGGTTAAAAACAGGGATATCTATGGAAATAAGCGATATTTTAGGTTAAAAACTGGGATTTCTAGTAATATATGCGATATTTTAGGGTTAAAAACAGGGATTTCTAGGAAAATAAGCAATATTTGAGGTTAAAAACAGGGATTTCTATGATAATAAGCGATATTTAAGGGGAAAAACAGGGATTTCTATGAAAATAAGCGATATTTGAGGTTAAAAACAGGGATTTCTATGAAAATAAGCGATATTTGAGGTTAAAAACAGGGATTTCTATGAAAATAAGCGATATTTGAGGTTAAAAACAGGGATTTCTATGGAAATAAGCGATATTTTAGGTTAAAAACTGGGATTTCTATGAAAATAAGCGATATTTGAGGGGAAAAACAGGGATTTCTATGGAAATAAGCGATATTTGAGGTTAAAAACTGGGATTTCTATGAAAATAAGCGATATTTTAGGTTAAAAACTGGGATTTCTATGGAAATAAGCGATATTTTAGGTTAAAAACAGGGATTTCTATGAAAATAAGCGATATTTGAGGTTAAAAACAGGGATTTCTATGGAAATAAGCGATATTTTAGGTTAAAAACAGGGATTTCTAGGAAAATAAGCGATATTTTAGGTTAAAAACAGGGATTTCTATGAAAATAAGCGATATTTAAGGGGAAAAACAGGGATTTCTATGAAAATAAGCGATATTTAAGGGGAAAAACAGGGATTTCTATGAAAATAAGCGATATTTGAGGTTAAAAACTGGGATTTCTAGGAAAATAAGCAATATTTTAGGGGAAAAACAGGGATTTCAATGAAAATAAGTGATATTTTAGGTTAAAAACAGGGATTTCTATGAAAATAAGCGATATTTAACGGGAAAAACAGGGATTTCTATGAAAATAAGCGATATTTTAGGTTGAAAACTGGGATTTCTAGGAAAATAAGCGATATTTTAGGTTAAAAACAGGGATTTCTATGAAAATAAGCGATATTTGAGGATAAAAACAGGGATTTCTA